ATGTATTCATTGCTATCGGGATGTTAAGAGCATTCCATGGAATATAACAAAAAGTGTTTCTGAAGGGAATTACCTACCCCACCTTTAAATGGAGGTAGATGGAGTGTCCTCGCTTAAGGATATGTCTGAATGTGTCCAGAGTCAGCACTTTATATAATATATGAGCAGTGGAAATGCTGAAAACCACCACCGGACATATTTTCCTATTGTATTTTTAACCTCTGTGAGTAAACAATAAGAGGATGTGGAGTCATACAGAGTGACATATATGGGACATGGTCTACTTTACTACACAAACATCCACAAACAGCATGAAGCTGTGGCAGTGAATGGGCAGAGAATGTTTCGCAGCCGGCTGCACACCGCTTCCCATCATGGCTCACTGTGCTTTTCATTAATTCCTTAATGCTATGAAACTCCCACTCACTCTCAGACATCTCAATTTGATTTTCAGAGAGGGAAGCTTTTCTTCTGCACCATCTTACTTTGTAAAGCTCGGTGAAACAAAACAAATGTACCAGATTAATAATTAATATAAGACACTGAAAGTCTCAAAGGTTTCCAAATCAACCACAAGGTCAATTTAGTAGCTCTTCTGAGGCTCTTGATCATGTCAATTTTTCTAAGGATGGCGTTGTCAAATTGTAATGGGGTATCTAGATTTAAAAATATTTTTCATTTTGATTTACAATACTTCTTTCACCTTAGTTCAAGGAATTATTTTTCCAGTTAGCTTTTATAAGTTGAGGCAAAAGTACATTCTATGATCGAATACACAATCAATGGAAAATTGAACATTAAACATTTCCTAAACTAAACGGTGAACACTCCAAATGTTGAAATCAAAAGAAATGATTGAAAAGACACAGAACGTTTTGTAATTATTAGATATTTTCTAATAAGTATGAGAGAATAAATCATAATAGAGATAAAGAAGTCATTATCCTCTTTGGAGAAAGCATTTTACTTCCTTAGAAATCCTTCAAGGTCTTCATCTCAATTGTAACTGATTCAAGTTGTATTAACCACATCATTCAGACTGTTATCATGGAAACAAATGTAGTCTGGGCTTCTGTGGCTCATGCTTCATCTAGCTGAATACAACAGACTAATAATGAAAGATTAACTGGAGGAGGATGGATACTAGTAAAACTGTGACACTCTGTCAGCCCTGTTGGCTCCGAGGGATAAAGTGACTCAAGCACAGCAGGCATGAGATTATAGTGGTGAATAAAACCTGTACTGTTCCCTTTGTAACAACTGGATAATGACTGGTCAGTTTTGCCTGTGGATGATATGATGGAAGTGAAAGGTTTGGACTAAACTGATTCAGGCTTACGGCTGTATAGATGCCAGCTAACATACTGGACTGTAGCTATATAGAATCTCTTTAAAAAATAAAATCCAAACTCAAAAGACACTTTCTAGCTTTTTCCAGGGATTTGAAGTGTGCCAAAGGTCTTCACCAGCAGAATTATGCTTATACTTTGTCATATATATGCATCTGCCATGTTTATTTTTAAGTTTCCTTTTCACTATGTATTGGGAGTAGTATGTCCTGCTTGACACATTGCAATGGCCACGATAACCACTGATAACGGGTGTGTACCGATAGGTCAAACCCATTTCATGACTGGATTGACAAACTGTTTTTCCCATTCATGACATTTACTTGATGAAATTATTTTTTAACTTGATTCCTTTTATGACTCTCGTGGTGAACAGTGAGTTTAACCGAAAGAGGTTAATACCTGCTCTCCTTTCTTGTAGCGCGATGTGAAGGTCGTCATGTCTCCTTTCCAGCAGCACTTAGTCTTTCAGATGTCTTTCTGTCTGCTGTCGGTGCTCCAGTTAATTTGATGTCATAACGGTTAAAGGCACTAAAAGAGATAAGATAACAATAAATACGGAGGGCACTCAGCCCTCCTTGAAATAAGGTTGTCAGATGTAGCCCTGCTTTATAAAGAATATTTTGATGCTCCTAGTAAATGTTTAAAATAGCACTCTGGCAGTCAAACAATGCAATTAATCCCCGAAAACACTTTGTGTCCAACATTTAGGTAGTAGTTTTATTTCAATGTTACAGAAAAGGATTAGGTCCACATGTGAATTTTCTTTTTAGATGAAATAAGTATTCTGACTTTAATCTCAGAACTTTTGTTCAGATCTCATAAAAAGAAAATTCACATGTGGACCTAATCCTCTTCCGTACTATTGATATGATCCAACCTCAGAATTGGGGTGTTTACAGACTCGGGAACTTTTTAATAAACTTTGTTGCTCCCTCTAATGTTGCCAGTAATATTAATGAGACAGCCACAGTGTGAACATTTTCTGCCACATGGTTTGCTGACTGGGATTGAATGCAGCTGTGTCAGCAATTATAGAGAGCATGTGCATAGTTCAGAATCCCATACTAATGACCAGTCTTCCTCAACATATTAAGAAGAAGACAAAAAAACCTGAATGTCAATATTGGCATTGTTTTTTCTATCGGCACAAGTTAACCCTTAAATGGGCATTCAGATTTAAATATTCTGGAAAAATGTATTGCTATTTTTTTTTATTTCACCCATATTACACTTTTATACACCCTTATTACACCCATATAACTCTGTTATTTCATTCATATAAGAGTGTTATTGGACCCATATTACACCCATTTAACACCAATATCTCATCCATATTACAGAGCAAAGACATTGTTATAACACCCATTTCACACATGGACACATCCTGTGAAATGACTGTATCCCTCAGGAAACGTAAACCATTTAAGGGTTAATACATTCAGAGTGCAATATTCATGCTGCATAGAGTAACTGCCTGTTGTTATTTTTAAATAAAAAGTCTCCAGGGTTCAGATTTAAAAGAAACAACCCGAAACCACCAGTCCGACTCTGCTTGTTTGATCAGCAGCTGAACAAACTCAGATTGTGAACATATTTCAGTGATGAATGTGACAGTAAAACAACAGCATCCATAAACTGGGCCCCAGTGAGTTTACCCAGTAAACATGCTGCTGATCTAGCGTTGGCTGTTTCACAAATTAGCTCATAATTCTGATTCGTTCCGCATGATGCTTGTTAAACTGGTGCATTGCAAAGTGACACTGCTGCCAGTGTGTTATGTACCTGCAACCTGTTTATGAATGTAAGCTTCCCTGACCTAACACATAACCCCAGAACAAAAAAGGGATGTCATTTCCTGAATTAATTGTTCCACCCCTCATTGCCCTTGCCTCCTCTTCCAGCAGGGGAAAGAGACACAAACACCATGTGACAGCTCCTTCACCTTTTTGAGGCGTAGGAAGAGAACATCTTTCATGCTAAAAATAGATCCCCTGATGAAGCGCCTGCATGCTTATAATGGGGCTGCTGCTACGCTTTGGCCCTCGCTTTCACCTCTCATACTATGTGATACTGCGTGCATACTCTCATGCAGCACGAGCCTCCCCTCCCTCTCACAGAAATGCTGCAATGCGTCTCCCTCAGCCAGGACTGGGTCAGTGTAACTCAGCTAGCTGCAATAGCCATAGAAGCATCCCCATAGCAACAGCAAATGAGGATTATGGTTGAGGGATTTAATTTTGTTGCGTTATTGTTGCGATTGTGTATGAAAAGAGCTTCAGGATTAAACTTGTCTAGGGGGCTTTAGTTAGGTTCAGTGGAGAAAGGAGATGGCTAGTTAGCAAAAGAGGAGACGGGGCAGGGTTGAGGACACTTCTGCAGTGTGACAGATGCTTGAAGATGGGGTGTTGTATTGTCATTAAATGAAAGTGGTCATAGGATGTTTTTATTATGGGAAACATTGTTTTTCCTTCTAAGTTTTTCTGAGCTTTCAATGAGTCAGACATGCCAACATAACTTCTCATTCTCTTAATCATTCATTAGACCAGTGGTTCTCAAACTTTTTCTGTCAGGCCTCCCCTTTGGAGAAAAAAATAAGTCGGGACCCCCCGAATACAAATATTCAGGCTCAGTGGCGGCGCCAGATATTTATTTTGGGGTGCTGTGGGGTAGCTTGACGTTTCATCGAGGGTGCTCAAACATTTAGGGTTTCCCATTAATGTACTGGTCGCTACAGTGGAATTTTCTACTACAACACTCCCCACGCAAATACACAGTGTGACAGTTACAATGAAGGCTCGAGGCATGTGTAAGCAGGGGTAAAGTGCTATTTTGATAGGTGGTGTGTGGACCTCACATAGGGGGGTCCGGGGGCAAGCTCCCCCGGGAAGATTTATTTCTAAATATTGAAGTTAAAAGCATCAATCTGGTGCACTTTGAGAGCAACATGAAGAGATCTATGGATACATCTCTCAATATGAAACAGAACTGTAATCAGATTTACTTTCTCTTGATGGATATTTTACAAATCAACCTTTATTTCACAACTTTATTCTTTTTTTCATACCTGTTTTTCATTTATTCTCTTATTTTTTTATAACTATAATGATCATATAAACGTGTGCCTTGGAAATAATTGTTTACATTAATGGTGACCAAAACGTTTGAGACCCACTGAGATAACTTAGACTAAAGTTAACTATCTAAACACTCAGAGAGTCCTTTAGCCTACTGAGTCCCTCAGTCTGACAGGAGAGGACTGTCCTCCACTTTGTTGTTGAAAAAACTCCTTATATCCGTTAGCGTAGCTTGCTAGCACCAGAAGCTAACAACTACGATCTCCGGTACCGGTGCGCTCTCTCTCTCGCTCGTGCACGCACACAAAATGGCTCATTCCACACACACACACACACAGAGCCAAGCTTTAATGAAACACAGAGACCCAGACGTAATAGTACTGTATCATATTATTTTCGAATCAATAATTTTTCAAATTATGATTTATTTTTTATTTATTTTTAATAACCATTTTTCCTCCTGGTCTCTCGCGCCCCCTGTCATGCCCAGTCAAAAGGAGGCCTCTGTTACTCATCAATCATTATTTGGCCTTGGTGTAGTCTTACCATTTTTCTTTTACTGTGTTTACCGCAGGCCAGCGGATTCTCCAGTATCAGAGTGACGTCCTCGAGACAGTAGTGCTGGTGAACCCATCAGAGGAGACCGCTGCCTCAGAGGTAAGTCACACCTGGACAACACAGACAACGTACAGCATGGTGTTGATGAGCAGACTCTCTGAATCTAAAAAGCCTTGATTGAACTTGGTTTCACTCACCAAGAACCTAGCAGCTCCTGCTGTTCAAGACTCAGCTTAAATGGGAGGTCCATGTCTCTACTGCTTGTGATCAACCGAAAAACACACAAAGTGTGATTCTCACATACTGCTTTGTGTTATAAATAAACCCACTCAGATGTCTCAGATCTGACTGTCATGTGTGAAAATGAGTCAAATGTTAGCATAGCATTTGACTGCTGGTGAAGAAAAAATCTACTTTTGAACCTTGTTGTTTTCATTATTATTTTTGTCTAGTGTAGTATGATATAGGAAAAGGTTGAACCTACATCATTTAAACTATATATTTTGTATACACCTGATGATATCCCTAGAAAGAAAACCTGTTTGTTTACAATCATACTGTATTTTACTTCTGCATTTCAGCTTTATTGTTTTTGTTTCAGGATCTTCAGCTTCTTGATGAGAACCAGTGAAACAGCCTTTTGCTAGCCAAAATTAAAAGAAAATATTTCCTTTTCCAAACACTCTATTTTGATGGAGGCAAGAGGTAGTGATTAAGACTAAAACGTCTTGGGAGCAATGCTTTAGACTGCATCATTTAAATATGTTTTTATTGTATTGACTTATACACGTTGATTTGAAGTCTTTAACTTTCGCTTTCCATTCATAAGTATTATTATCTCTCACTGGCTCGATGTTGCATGGATGGCATCAAACTGTCAAACTCAATGGTACTAAAATTACTTTTGGGTCTGATGTTGGTGTCTTAAAGAAGGTTTAAATATTACAAAGCATTCATGTTGATTGTGAGTTGGTTATTCTGTACTTTACCCAGATTCGATCACTGATCACCGACTTTGCTGGGAATAAGTTGCTGATACTGTGCGGCCAGAGCTCTGAGCAGGGAGGTGACATCTTACTGCAAAGTGGAGCCTTCACCTGGCAAAACTTCTCTGACATAATCTCCAACCCTCAAGTAAGACCAGTGTGCTTTTATCTCCGAATCGTTTTTTGTACAGTCTCTGAATACACACTTATAAAACGTAAATCGAAAGTGTTATTTTAGTTTGTTTTTTACTGTGTTCCCAGGTAACTGAACTTCTGTCCAAGGCCTCTTCAGAACAGCCGTCCAGGCTTACTGTTTCCTGTCAGGGAGACGGGGGCTGGAGCTCCCTGGGCCAAAGCCAGGAGCAGCAGTCACTTCAAAATATTTTGGAATACCGCCTGAACCCTGAACCTAACCTCCCCGACATGGACGGAGTCACAGAGTTCACCGAGTATGTCTCAGAGACAGTGGATGTTCCATCATCCTTTGATCTTCTGGAGCCCCCGACCTCAGGAGGTTTTCTGAAGCTTTCCAAACCCTGCTGCTACATCTTTCCTGGAGGCAGGGGAGACTCTGCTCTGTTTGCGGTGAACGGATTTAACATCCTGGTGGATGGTGGGTCAGATCGAAAGTCTTGCTTCTGGAAGCTGGTTCGCCACCTCGACAGGATTGACTCTGTTCTGCTTACCCACATTGGTGCAGACAACCTCCCTGGCATCAATGGTTTGTTCCAGAGAAAGATTGCAGAACAAGAAGAGCAGCGTAACCAGGGATCTGGCTCCAGCAGCAATGGTGAATTGATGAAGAACCTTATCTCTCCCGAGTTGGGGATTGTGTTTTTTAATGTCCCAGAGAAGCTTCGGATGCCTGAGTCCACGCTGAAAGTGAAGCGAAGCATTGAGGAAGCATCTCTTACATTGCAATACCTCAACAAGCTTGGTATCACGCCAGAGCCTCTTCACAGGGTAGTCAGCAACACCCTTGAACCCATCACACTATTCCATAAACTTGGTGTTGGAAAGTTAGACATGTATGTCTTAAACCCTGTTAAAGAGAGCAAAGAGATGCAGTTTCTAATGCAGAAATGGGCTGGAAACAGCAAAGCCAAGACAGGGATTACGATGGCCAATGGAAAAGAAGGAGAAATATCTGTCCCGTATTTGACATCAGTTACCGCTCTCATTGTTTGGATTCCTCACCGTCCAACAGAAAAGATAGTCAGGGTGCTCTTCCCTGGAAATGCACCGCAGAATAAAATCTTTGAAGGCCTTGAAAAACTGAAACACCTGGACTTCCTGCGATACCCAGTAGCTACCCAAAAAGATATTTCATCAGGTGCACCTCCTCCTATCATCAAACAGACCAAAATGAGATCAAGAACTGACAGCAAGGAAAGTCTCAAGTCTTCACCGAAACCACACTCTAAAACCACAAAGAAAGAAGCCAGTGGGCAGGAGGAAGAGTCCAAGAGTGACATTAATACAGAGAATAAAGTGGAAAAGACAGAAGAGAAGAAACCCAAAAGTCCAAGTCTAAAAGCCACCAAACAACAGAAAAACAGTGAGTTTGCGCCTGTTGCAGGCAACTTGGAGAAAAAGAAAGTATCAAAGGAAAAAACGTCAAAGAACGAGAAAACTTCCAAGATGGATGAAAAAAAAGACAAAGAGAAAAAGGAAGTTAAGAAGGAGAAAGGTGAAGTAAAGAAAGATGAAAATAAAAAGGAAGTAAAAAAAGAAAGCAAATTCAAGGAAGACAAAAAGAAGGACCCAAGTAAACCAGAGCTGAGAAAAATCACTAAACCTGACCTAAAGCCACTCACCCCTGAAGTGAGAAAAACTCTGCATAAGGCAAAGACTCAGGTTAAGCCAAAGACTGACAAAAATAAAGCAGTTAAAGAGAAAGCTAATGAGAAAAAGCCAGTCCCAAAAAACATTCCTGACGAGATCGCAGCAGCAGCTTTGGCTGACAGGTCTATTGTGTCTTCCCCAGAGGACCTCACTGAGGACTTTGAGGCTCTGAAAAAGGAAGAGCGGTCCAAAGTCAAGTCTGAGCCGATCCAGAATGATGTGATGTTTGGGCACTCAATGTACGGGGATACTAAAGTTCCTTCCTTAGTTTTTACTGAAGATAAAGTCACATCCCAAGCCACTGAGATCAAATCTGCTTCACCCAAATCCCCTGTCAAAAAAGATGAAGACAACAAGGACAAGGGCACATCAGTACAGATTAAAGCAACTGAGAAGAAGGAAGCAGGCAGTGGGTATGCCAAGAAGTTTGAAGAGGACCAAATTGGGAAATATGACGAATATGACAGCTCAAGAGACAGATCAAAGAAGAGTGACAGCTCAGAGGAGGAGGGTGATGTCATTGAAAAAGCTGACCTTGAAGGAACAGAAGATGATGAGGTCCTCAAATATAAAACAGAAGAGGCGAAAAAGGAAAAATCTGTCAAGGATTGGGACACCAAGCCAACTGAGACAAAACCTTTATCAACCACAGCCCTATGTGGACAAGTAACAGCCTCCGTCTCGGAGCAATTCTCCTTAATCCAAGACGAGACCATCCCCGGCTACTCCGAAACTGAACAGACCATCTCTGATGAGGAGATTCATGAAGAACCAGATGATAGGATCCCACAGCTGCGTTATGATGTGGGGTCCTATGACGTCTCTGTCCCTGACCTCCCCGGTACCTTTGACTCCATGCATGGTATGAAAGAGATGAAGTTCTCCGCACTGTCTGATGTAAAACCTAAAGCCTTCCTGGGTGGTCACGAGCATGAGCTTGCACCTTACCCTGCCATCATTGCTGCTCCTCTTGCAGAAGAAGAGCACATATCCTCTGCAACATCCATCACAGAGTATGACAAATTGTCATCCTTTGCTACGTCCGTAGCTGAGGACCAGTCGATAGCCTCTGTGACAGCACCTCAGAACGAGGAGGCTGGGAGGAACTCTCTCCTGCTGGACACAATGAACAGTATCCCCTCACGCGCTGAGGCCGCCCATGGCAAAGATTATCTCCACTCAGCAGGAACCATCTCACCCACCTCCTCTCTGGAGGACGACAAGTGCTTTAAGTCTCCTTCCTCTGATGAATACCAGCCAAACATTCCTGAAATGGAAACTAATGCGAAGATCAAATCAGTCCATGAAGAGGAAGATGATGAGGAGGACGAGGATGAGGACCAGACTCCAAACGTTGACATCCCTCTGGGTAAACTGCAAGAGGGCTATGAACATGCAGCCTTCAAGATGCTCCAGGAGAAGGACAAATCTCCCTCTGCCACTTTTTCTCCTCCTCCCCCTCCCTTCTTTACCATGCAGTACTCTACCACACAGGCTGTGAAAGATAACCAGTCCCTTTCTAAAGGATTTAAGACTGGGGAAGATATTAAGCCTGTTTCACCACCTCCATCTTTCTCCCCTAGGTTAGATTTAGAGTCCCACTCCAGGCAGGAGAGTGAGGAAAGATGTTTGAGTCCAGATGACTCTACCATGAAGCTGGCTTCACCCACACAGTCTGTGCCTACAAGCAGTGGCTACTCTCCGACAGAAGATAAATCTTTTAAGACACAAGAAAAATATGTTAAAACTGACACCCAGAAATCACCCATTATCTCAGCTGGTGACAAGACAGTGTCAGCATCTGAAGAAGAGTCTGAAGATTCTGAAAAATCACCTGAAGACAATGAGGAGGAAGAGGACTTTTTTGCCAAAAATAATCTACAGCCCGCTGTTAAGGCCAAGATTATGGAGGCAAAAGAAGGGTGCTTCTTGGACGACGACTTTGCCTCTGAGACAAAATCTGAAAAGACAGAAACTAAAGTCAAGACGTCAGACAAGACACAGGTGGCATTCAGCACAGAGGTGAAACCCAAACCTCAAGTGATGTACTCTGATGAAGATGAGGATGACAATGAGGATGATATCCCAAGTAGGATAGGACCAAATAAGCCCTTGCCAGCAGATCAAAGCAAAGTAGACTTAAAAAATGAAGGTACAGAGAAAACTGATTCTAAAGATTCTGAGAAAAATGTTCATTTCAGTCTCTACAACTTTCCAGAGAAGGAGAGCAAAGAAAAGGCAATATATATAAGACAGGACACGCCCTATGTGCATGGCAAAACATTCTCTTACGGTGACATTTACGGCTCAGTGGACTCTGATTCATATAACCAGGATTCCTTAGATAAAGTTGACAAGGACACGGCACAGAGTGAAATAGATGCCAATAAACCCCAGACGCCATCACCGGTAACATCTACGGACAATATGTCAGAGAAGGGGGGATTCACCGATTCTTGGGGAAAGGATTCCTCCCCTTCGTGGCTCGACTCCAAGAGTACTTCTGCTAAACCTCCATTTGAAGAGGTAAAAGGAAAGGCGACCTTTGAATACAACACAGGAAGCCGATTCCCTTCAGTGGCTGATAGACCCGAGGCCTCGTCCACGTCTCTATCATCAGAAAAAGACGCCTCTTTTAAAAGCCAGACTGACGGCACAAAGCCCCAGACGTACTCCTCAAGGACAGCGTTTGAAACTGACAAACCTGCCGCCACAGGTTACGGTGAGAAAGGAGCAGACTTGGAGATTGATATGCAAAAACTAACTGCAAGGGATGAGGAGGACTATGATGATGATGAAGTTGCAGATGAATACGACGAGGAAGACGAAGAGGACGAGGAGGACGAAGACGAATGTGCTGTCGATTCTGATATGGAGAAAGGTGCCAAAGAGAGGTCTGAAAAGGAGGTAAAGAGTCCAGTCAGTGAAATGTTTGGCTCAAATAGGCCTGAATTTATGGTTTCTATGGCGGGGTACGGTTATAACAGCCAGGGGAAGACTGAAAATGAGGTAAAGAGTCCAGTCAGTGAAATGTCTGGCTCAAATAGGCCTGAATTTATGGTTTCTATGGCGGGGTACGGTTATAACAGCCAGGGGAAGCCGAGAAGCCCCCCTTCAATTAAAAAGGCTGAACACGAGGCTCAGATTAACTCCTCATCCAGTGGAAAGCCAATGGATTTAGGAGCTACAGGTTTCTCTGGCTCCTCCTCAGGGCTTGAGTACTCATATGGAAAAGTTGAGAAAGACTCATTTTTTTCAAGTCACAAAGGTAAAGAGGATCTCACGTTGAAATCAGCAGACGACAGTTATTACCAGAGTGACAGGGCTGATCCAGATTTTGAGAAACAGAAAACACCAGACCTTCTGAGCAAGAAATCACTGGACTCAAACCTCCAGTACACAACAACTGCTGGCCCTGGGTACTCCTCTTCTTCGGCCTACAGCTACTCCTCCTCCACCTCAGGCTCCCTTTCCACCAGCCGCCAGTTCGGAGAGGAGCTGGAGACTCCTGCCGAGCCTCTTTTTGAGTACTCCTCTTTTAAAGATGAACACTCACTTGCCATGGATTCTCCATTGTCCAGCTCCACTGGTGCTAAAGACGACTATCTAGAAGTTTCTGAAAGACACATCACAGCTACAACCACGGCTGAGTCCACCCGTTTCTCACCTCACAGCCCATTTGAGGAGATCAAATCTTTCCCTTCACATTCGTCCACTGCTTTTGCAGGGGACAAAAAGGAGCATACTGCTTCTTTAGGAGGCGTTATGGACAAGGGGCCTCAATCTGACTGTTTCTATAAGCCGGAATGGTCTCATGGGTCGAAGCCAGACACAGCTGTTGGGTTCAAGGCCTCTGCAGGACCGTTTGCTCAACCTGCAGAGCTATCCAAGGACAAAGAGGCAGCCAGTGCTGCTCTTTTTGGTGTCACTTCCTCACCACGCCCAGACATAGAAGGCAAGCATTACTTTGAGGAGACGGACAGCAGTGAAGAAGAAGAAGAAGAAGATGAGGACGCGTACATGCGTGAGATGACTCGAAAGTCTCCTTCTAGTGGCCCGGCTGGTGGCCTCTCATTTACAGACAAGCCTGTTCTTCCAGCTGCAAGTGAAAAGACAGCTGGTACAATCCCTGAGGTTCTTGGGTCCTACATGCCCTCGCCCTTCCAAGTCAGCAAGCCAGACAAAACAAACGGACCCACAGAGGTCAGCTTGAGCACCACCCTACCTGCTGGAGAGGAATCCAGTGGTGCATCTTCAGGACCTACTAAGGTGGAACCCAAGGTTGGAGCTGCAGCTTACAAGAGCTCTTTCGAGTGGGAGATGTCAAAGCCCCAGATGGGAATGGTGCCCGGAGACTCCCCTACTCATTACCGTGATGAAGATGAGTTTGAAGAGGAGTGTGAGATGGAGCCAGAGCACCCTGTTCGCCCACTGTCACTCTCTTCAACTGATCAGCCGTTTCACTCTCCGTTCTACGCTGAAGAGTGCAGCCGAGGAGGCCAGGATGACGACGATGATGACAGCGATGAGGACCTTGTTGGGGATGTGCCCATGGGGGCCACCTCCTCCTATACCAGCCGCAGCTCCCCCGGATATTCTTCCTCCGAGTACAGGCAGGCAAAACATGACCTCTCACCTTCCTTCATCAACCCATGCATGCGTCACGTATCCAGCGATGAGGATGATGAGGAGCATTGTCGCAGAAGTGACCAATCGCAGGAGGCCGATGAGAATGATTTGTCGGTCAAGAGTCGGGCTCACAAACAGCTGTCACACAGCAGGGAGAGCAGCTCCCTGCACCAAGCTGGTGGCATGTCAGCAGGGCTGGGTCTGGCCACAGAGGACACACCGCCAACCTCAGTCAGCGAGTCTTCAGCCTCTCAGTCAGACTCTGATGGGCCTCCGGGCACTGAGGAATACCCCACAGTCGCCGGTGAGGGCAACATGGACTCTGATGAAGATGCAGATTATATGCCTGTTGATAAATTATCAGCCACGGGAGGGGGCAGCCATCATTCCTCTAGAAGGACTGACCCTCCTCCTGCTCCCGTCATGGACCCATGCCCTCACCCCCCACGTCCAGACGTTTGCATGGTTGATCCTGACACTTTGGATAATGGCTTGGTTAAGAAAGAGCCAAAAGTCAAGAGCTTGAAAAAGACTTCGGGTAAAACCAAGTCAGCATCCCCGGCCAGGCGCAAGAAGTCTCCCATGCCAGTCAAACAGACGGCATCCCCTCGTACCGCCTCACTGAAGAAGAAGGAGTCAGACAAAAGCTCACGTATGTCTCGCCTGTCTGACGGACAGGGCTCCAAAGATGATGACCTCTCCAGGTCGAGCTACAACCCTGGCAAGAGCCTGACTAACGGTGTCAAGAGCAGTTCAGGTGGGCAAATTATGAAAAAAAATTGAAAGCTTTCAGATTTAGTAAGTTAAATGTTTTTTTGCACATTGACAGCAATTTTTTGTTCTTTCACTCAGGCTCTCAGAAGTCCGGCTCTGCAGCTGCTTCTGGCCTTCCTATTTATGTGGACTTGGCCTACATTCCAAACCACTGCAGTGCCAAGAATGTGGATCAAGAGTTTTTCAAACGCATTCGCTCTGCGTACTATGTGGTCAGTGGGAACGATACAGCAAGTGGTGAACCAAGCCGGGGAGTCCTCGATGCATTGCTTGATGGCAAATCTCAGTGGGGTTCAAACCTCCAGGTAATATTTCCGACGCCATACTCAGCTTGATGCTGACAATAATTTGGCATATTTAAAGGTGTTTACCCTGTAGGCCACAATACACATACACCTTATGCAATTGCACTCTTTAAAAGGCCAAGACAGATACATTTCCAACAAAATGTTGTTCATGTATAGTAAAAAGGGAGATATGTGTGCACCCAATGAATCTTGGATTGATTCCGAGTCCCTCCCCTCGACGGCAAAGTAAAAACTAAGTGTGCGAAAGCATAATATTTCCCTGAGGATGTAGATAGAAGAGAGTGAACAATCATACTGTCTTTAAGCCTTTAAGTTAAAATGGCTCTCATTTACTGCCGATTTCTCCACACATTCTATGAAACTAATTATCTTGAAATATTTGATTGTTGTATACTAGCTCTTGGTTTTCTATACACCATGATAAATCATGCTGTTATCCTCTCTACCAAGTCAGTCATGATATTTTACTGGTCTCTTGTCTTGTCGCTCAGGTCACGCTGATCCCCACCCATGACACAGAGGTGACCCGTGACTGGTACCAGCAGACTCATGAGAGGCAGCAGGAACTCAACATCATGGTCCTGGCCTCCAGCAGCACCGTTGTTATGCAGGACGAGTCTTTCCCCGCCTGCAAGATCGAGTTTTAAGACCCTCGTTTCCCCCTCTCCCTCCTCCTGGCCTCCCCAGTGTAGATCTGGTTTTAATTGCTCTTCTCTATAGCCTGATATGCAACTCTGCCTCTGCTTTGGGCACTTAACCAAAAGCATAAACAGACCTGGATAACTGTCTATGTTTTTCTAGATTTGTATTTATTTATAAGCTTGTTGTGGCTATCAGCATTTGTATTACAAAGGTAGTTTTCTGACTGTGTCCTTCACTACAATATTATTATTTCTCAGGCCTATGAATGGGAGAGTTTTTTTCTGTTCCTTTACATATCTTTTTATCAAACCCTGTGAGACAATGACGTCTTTATTGGCTCAGAAAAAATGCCTATTGTAAAAAGAAAAAGAGAATCATATAGGAAACAACGTAAATTAACAATTGGTTGCTTGTCTTCTAATTGGCCTAAACGAAAGCACAAGTTTGCACACCTTAAAAGCCAGCAACAATCGAGTGCATCGTGGACAAAACGTCGAGCCTTTCTCAATGTGATCAATTGAATCGGAAGTCATTATTACAGGCTACTTGTGATTAGCTTTCCCTAACTTGGCTCTATATTCCCGTTCAACTTTCTTCTAAAAACAATGGCAGTCCCAGTGTTGAACTTTGTGCCTCCTGACATAGTGCGATAGAACACGTTCAATCTGTCTTTTGAGTATATTAGCCGTAGCGTAGGAAAAAGTATATTAAAAAATCTGTATTGTAGTGATATTTCTACGGTAAACTCAAAGTGAAAATCAATCTTTAAAGTACGATTTTCTCGGTGGCTTTTATTTGTTACGGTAGATCTGGAGAAAAACATGTCTCTCTATAATTGTTTCCGTAGTCTTTGGTGTATTCTTTCAGTGTATTTCCAGTTAACACGTTGTTGCAGAGGATCGTGAGGAGAACTGAAGGCAGATGCGGTGAAACGAGTACAAATTCATCAACCTGATTTTTGGATTCTCCCCGTTTATCTCTTAACATATAAAACAGCGCTCAAGCTTAGAGGAAGGTTGACAAACCTTATATCTGTTGCTGCGCCTCAAAGATCTTTAAAGCTGTGTTAAAGAACGTCGAATGTATTCCACTACAACATTAGGAACATGTGGTTGCGAGGAGAGATTGTGTTTGCCTGGTGAACAAAGGTGGTCGGTTTGCTTGATAGTCAGAGGTTGGACTGTCACCCACATGTGCCTTTCTGTCCTGCTTTGCTGGAAAGGGGAAATGAAATGTGGTTTTTCGTCGTATAAATTTAGCTGGTCTCCTCTGTTGTCGTGAGTTTTTGTCGGTGAGAACATCATTGCACAAAACAAGGTCAAGAGTTGTACATATTGAGAATAAAATGGCACTTTTAAGAGCACCGCCACGGTGCGTTTTAGATTCCCTGGAGCTGCCACTCGAAAAAGCACAACAAGTAACCAGTGTGCAAAAATGTAAGCAGTCTTAAATTAAGCAACACATAACAGCATTTGCAAAGAAAAAATTGGCAGTTTTAGTTTTTTTCTGGTTACTTTGGTAATTATTGTAGAAAAGAGTTTGCTAAATTACTTTTTAGAAAAAAAACACCTTGTTTTCTTAAAATTGTCAACATTTAACTAGTGATTTTTTGTTCTTCCAGTGGCAAATCAGTGGATGTTTTTAAGTTACACTTAATTAACTTATTATACATATATAAATATAGGTGCTTTTATTTGATATTGATGATTTTAAATTTTGATAGGTTTTAAGTACTTTTTAACAAATCTTAACTACCCAACAAAACTCAAGGACCAACACGCATCACCAGGGTTGCTCTTTTATGATCCACATTACAGATCAGATATTCCCCTGTATGATATTTTATCCCCTCGATGCATGGACACAGAAGCATGTACATAAAGGAGATAGCTCTTTAACAAGCAGGGGGCCCGCCAGACCTCAGCGGCTCCAGTCGATTTGAATGTGAAGATGCAGATTTACCTTTACGTTCTCCGTGGAGGGCTTTGATCTCCTGGTTGCCTTGGTTACTGTGCATCATGTGGTACATCTGACTCATCGCTCACGCCGGGCGGTAACAACCGTACTGTTGTAGCCTGCAATACATCTGGACTTTGTGTAGGGCAAAGACCTGTTTCTTTATTTAGATGACACACATTATGATTTTCTGTCCTAAATGATAAAGATAAGAAATACTCAGTGCTGATTTAATTAACAGCATCTTTGATAAAAGAGGGTCAATGCATTCCTGTTTAATACTGCATCACTGTAAACGTTAATAATAACAAACGAACACTACTCATATGAGCAGACACTCAAAACCCAAACTGCCAGACACTCATATCAATACATTTATACCTATAAAGGATTTCCTATTACTCACACCTTTTTCCAGACAATGCTTAAAATACACTCACAGCTGCATTTTCGTATCGTGCAACAAAAAATAAGAAAATATAAATATCTGTGGGCATTCAAACTTGTTTGCCGTGAAACAAATCATCATAAAGACTGTTGGATTTCAGTGAGCCCTGCTTGTACGTGCATGTGTAACTTTTGAGTTCTCCTGTAATGTAATAGCTGATGAAAAAATGCTTACCATAGAAATGCTATTTTAAAAGATGTATATTAAAGAAGTTAAGCTGTGTGGAACTAAGGAGGCACATGTAACCCTGGCTGTGCAGAAAAGAAAGTATCGTGATCGTTCATTTTTCTCCTTTCTGCTTCATCTCTTGTTTTAAGTGCAATATTATCTTTATCTTTAAATGCTTAAAAAAAGTTAAAATAGAAAAACTGATTTATTGTTGAAAAGGGAAAAAGTGTGGTGAAGACAAATAAAAACATCATTTACTGAAGAAGAATGTCTCCCTCTTTTTTCCCCGTACCAATGTATTTCATTCATGTTTTTCCTCTTTAAAAAAGGCACTATTGTACTTTTTAGGTTTTCCCTTTCCTGTAGTTGGTTAGTGTGGTTTTTGTGCATCCCAATGATCCAAACATTCCCACAGTCCCACCCTGCCTGAAATAACTCCACTGGACTCCTTTGTTTACTTCCATAACAAAGTGACATCACTATGTAACACTTGAGCTTCTATTGGCAAGCGCTCCAACACATTGTACGTACGTGATAGGCTAAGGGACGGGACATCTCTGAGTGTAGTGTTGGCCAGCTAACCAATCAGAGCAGACTGGGCTCTGGTTTCAGACAGAGGGTGAAAAGAGGTGCTGAGGCACAGGCACAAAATAAAGAGCTTTATGAACATTAAAGCATGTAAACATGTCCCTGGAGAGACACTAAATACTAATATGAACCTGAAAATTATCCTAATATGGCTAAACTGGGTTAAACAGATGACAAATATATGTTTTTATGATAGAGATTATTTCAACTTCCCTTGTCATAATTTGACCTGCTGGACGTGATAGAGAAAACTTAATTTGATTATTAAAGTAATCATGGTTCATCCTCTGGGCACCATGAATATCTTAACAAACTTTGATGGCACTCCATTAAGACAGTATGTCAAGATGTCCAAACACAAAGTCTGAATGTTGATCTGTAGTCTGTGATTGAAAATATAGTCATTAGGATGTAACTTCTTTGGCTTATAAATGTCCAACAGAAACAGGAACAACCTCTCAGATCTCCTATACGACCCTATTGAGTCCCGACGGTCCCGACACACAACCCAAGGCTTTGCAGACAATCCTTCCTCACTGCCTCAGTGTAAGGATTATGTCACCTGGTGGGACATGGGAACATTGTGGGCTTTGTTCTGACTCAAAGACCCTTTTCAACAGTTGATACTGATACTGTGATGGAGGAAGGAGCAGGCTGGAAGTTGGAGCACAATCCAGCTGAATGAATGCTGCAATGACATCACCTCCTGGGTCACATGACCAGGGTGGAGAACAGAGCAACAGCTGTGACATCTATAGTATTATACAAGCACTGTTGTATTTTAACATTTTTGTATGTAACATTTCACAAACAAAAATGATGTGCTTTTAAAATATGGTGAATCAATACAGTGAACCTAGGTAAACTAATATAAAAAAGTAAATATGAGCCAAACCAGCTACAACAATAGGAAGCCATCTACACCTTACCATTATACTATTCCAGTATAACTTTAATTATAAATCAAATAGTTATTTTATTATTTGAAATATTAAGTTCATTCTGCTGAGGAAAAGGCAATACATCTTTAATAGTTATATATTTTGCTTTGACTGTGCTGTCGCCACTTTTACTTAATTGTACCAACGAAGACACGTTTAAACAGAAGCAGCTGAACATGAACTTGCCAGAATAAAAACGTTACATTTGAAAAATCTGATTTTGAATCATAAGCAAGCTACAAAATCATAGATCAAGGAAACTATATTACAGACCAGCCATTTAATACTACCGGTACATCAAAAATATTTAAAATGATATAACATTTTTAAAAGTATAGAAATGTAATCCTCAGTCTTATTATGTACTACACTTAAATAGCATTGATATTTTAGGAGAGGATGTTTTATATTGTAGTTTTTAAAACCTTTTTTATTTTAATGTCGAGTGGAAGTTTTTATGGCTAGCTTTTTTAATTTATTTTTTATTCTAATGTTTATATACATATCATTTAATGTATCTTTTATTTTTTTCTTAAAATGGAGAAAAACCCCAATATGCCCCCAGGTAAAGAACGTTATCTGAATATTTTCCTCTTCTACTCAAATATTCTCTTCCACTCACATGAATCTACCTGCCAGTAATAAATAACACATGACCTTCCCCTGCGTCCCTCTTGCTTTTCTTTCCTCCTCAGCCTACATTACTCTCACCGGTGACCTTCACACTGACAGCAAACGACGTGATAATGCTGACTGCAGGCGTCTCAAAACGAAAACAGATTTATTTCAGAAAGTAACGCTGTGTGACTTCAGAGGTCATTTACCTGCCGAGACCTGAGTATCATCGTCAGGGAGGACCATCCTGCGGTGCTGTTGATCTGGGGCTGTTTTTTATTGGTTGAACTACTTAATTCTGGTAAAATATAAACCTGAAAGGAGAAGAGTGGTGACAGTTTGAGCAGCAGATTAATGCTCTTAGTTTATCACTTATTCATCCCCATACACGTTAGGTGTTAAATATTCATCTGCCATATTCAAAGCAATCCATCAGTTTTTATTTAACATGTTGTAATCCACCAGGTCTAATACTTTTCCTCCATTTGCCTCGTCTACTGGGAAAAATTATATGGATTATTGGGCAGAGAAAATGTCATTATTAATTTTTTATTTTGTAAAATTTAAATTATATTTAAAAATGAAGAATTTGTATACATGTGTTACATTTTGCACATCATTTCTGAAATTCTAAACATTTTCAAAAGTTCATGTAAACTTTAAAGATTTTGTTCTTAATCTGGATTTTTTTTTAAACAATACTACAGTAAAGCAAATAATGGAGTAGAACCGACACATTTGAATGACACTCCAATAGCTGTATTTGTAACATTGTTAGAGGCAATACAGAATATTGTGTCTGTTTCACATAACGACCATTCTAAATCCAAATGATTAAGCTTCACACAGACAGGCGGTGTAAACCAGGACAGAGAGCATTTGTGGAATCAGCTCAGTAGAGTTAGTACAGATTTGAAGAAAACACACATTGTGCATGACCTAAGCTTGATGATCCAACAGGGAGAAATGTCAGACATGTGATTTCAGTTCACGAAGCACTCTGAGCAGGTTTTAAAGGTCAATTCACAGAAATTACAAAACTGATTTTTCTAGCCTATAGTGGCATTTCGCGATGGAGCCCGAATGTTGAGACATGTATCTGAGTTTTCTGCCCTTCCTCTGATGCAGCAGAAGGGAACAGAGTTTGGTTTATGGTACTCTCAGGTTTGAAGTAAGGCCTCAAGACTCACATGGTGACATCACTCAGGGTGTTGTAGTTACAGGCAACCTGATACACCGTGTTCTATCAAACTGTAGCATAGATTTTAAATGAATTTCTAGAAAAGAAAAAAGCGAACCTTTTGCACTTTTCATTCCCTACTACTATCCATATGGAGTTGAGCGCATTAAGATACAGTCGGTTGCTGACTCTTCAGTTATGTTCCATAAAGCACTGCAGAAGAATCCAACAAGATGAGCCTTAAAGCTTCAGAGTATGGGAAACATTATGTATAAATGTCACATTCATGCTCGTTTCATGAATTGTACTACACATACGTTATGTTAGTCAGATCTTTAAACTCTTTTGCAAAACCTTTGCTTTTTTCAAATTCTTTTTTTAAAATGCATACTTGAAATGATCAAAAAACCCTACTTACTGATATTTAACCTGTGTTTCCCCCCTCTACACTATATCGTAATGTAACATCACATCTCACTGATTGAACACAGAATAGCACTTCAGCGTACTTGGGTACCTGAATTGCTTATCATCATGTGTGTAGCCCCCCCCTCGCCCAAACACACCTGCTACATACCTGCTTGCCACAATAAAAGCACATCCAATGTAAATCGCTCCTCCCGTTTGTTCGCTGATAAAAGGAATTAGCTTTCATATTTTCCCACATCACGAGGTGATTTAACCAAAACATATACAATGGTACAATAAGATATCTGATGTGGGTATCAAAAATACCAGAAGAGTATTACAGTAAGATGACATTTCTTAATAAAGGTTTTTTTATCTATCAGTTCCTACTGAGTATATTAAATCTTCTTTGGCTGTAGGCGATGTACGCAGCTTGACCTGGAGATTTACTGACAGAAGCCTTTTTTTAACTGACATTATAACAAAAACATTCTGACAAACAAATATTTCGCTTTTGTTTGTTTTTTCTTTAAAATTTAAACGCAGATACTAAACATAAGAAGCTCAGAAGAGAACACACACTGGGGTAAGACGAAGAGCAGAAAAGCCACAGATTATATCTTCAAGGCCTTGCAAGTTACTTCCTGTGTTTCTAATAAAATAAGTGAGCTTATAAGTAACATTATCCTGTAACAAACAAAGGACCCTTGCCCCGATGCCAGGACATAAACCCTGATACCCGTCACGGGACTATGATGGAGGTTATGGAAGCTGATCATGGGAAAACGTAATCTGTCCAAAGGTAAAGGCTAAAAGGTAAGACGACAGGTTAAAGTTCCATTGATCAATATCTCCACGGTCACTTTGAATCAATTGAACACAGAACATTTGGAAACTATTTCTTAAGGCCTCTTTAAGCACATTTCTTTTGAGATTATGGGTGGAGAACAAATCCGAGTTTAAACAGTTTTATAATGTGATAAAATATCTCGCTCTGCCTCCCAGTGGCCAAAACTGATGAATCCAGCTTTAAGGAAAGGTTTGTGTAACCGCTAATAAGCAACAGTAACAGGGAGTTTGACGATAAAGCTTCAACTTACAACACTTGGCTCTCTACGTCTATAAAGACAGAACCAGTAGACTGTCAGAGGATGCTCAGTGGCGTCACTGGCAAAGCCCCGATGTGCTTTCTAAAAGGCGATGAGCAGCACTTATGGCACTGTCATATGATTATTCTAAGCAGAGCCTAGTGAGAGGATCAGCTGCCCATTCATTATTACTCAACACACAGTATTCATCAAGCAGGAGGAGGCCAGGGCGAGTGTCACACAGTACAACGCCTCACTGCTCATGATTGACAGCCAGGGATCTGTTCTGAAAGTCTCCATGCTCTACGGCTCTGCTCCACCATCTAGAGGCGTCTCAGATTGGGGGACATCTTCTGGGCTGTCCATCCACAGCTCCATGGACTCCTGGGTGTCGAAGAACTCGTCAAGGCACTCGGGGGACTGGGGCGTCTGGGAGCTGGAGCCTGCCTCGCTGCTGCTCTCCCGGAGCTCCAGCAGCACGGGCAGAGAGCCGGGGAGGCAGTAGCCCTCCATCCGAGAGAGGGTGAGCTCTGCTAACGGCGAGCAGGGCGGGATCGGGCAGGGATCTGAGGCTTCCCTAGCCGGAGGAGCCACTTCCTGTGTGCGTTCAGGATCGTTAGGCTGGCGATATGTAGCGGGGCCAAGCTCCCCGTCTTCCTCTGATGAGTTATTAGGAGTCAGAGGGACTTCGGCGAGGGATGTGGTCGGGTCATTTCCCTGTGACCCGGAGGCGGGCGCCGGCTGATTGGAAATGTTTTGAGACGAGTAAGTCTCCTCGCTGCTCTGGGGGGTGAGAGAGATCTTATCACTGAAACTGAAGCGTGGGGAAGTGTCTGCTGTGGTGGGAGAAGAAGGCCCGGCGCTGGATACTGTGCTGGATGGACCGCTGCTGTCTGTGGGAGCAGAATATAAAGTGTGAGAGGAAATAACACAAGTCTACATTTTTATGATTCATTTTGGATAAACATCATCCCTGCAGCTCAAAGAAGTGAAATAAATAATGTGTCATTTGCAAGAAAAGACCAAAGATAACAGACAGCAACAGAGACAAAAAATGGAGGCTGCAATGGAATATTTGTGTTCTATAAATAACCCTCACACGTCTGAAACTGAGACAGCCGTGGGAGGCCAACCTAAAAATGTCAAATCTCGGATGGAACATGGAGATGCTTGGATACTCACACCAAGGAGGTCTGTCAGAACGAGATCTGAGAGAGATGGAGGAAGAGACTCTCTGGGGGATGTACGAGTCCACTGACGGATGGTTCTGTGCGTCCAACATGGCCGACTGCAGAGCTGCAGGGATAAACAAAAAAAATACAGATCAGGATAAAAACGGGTTTTGAATGGGTATTTTTCAAACTGGGATTCAAAACTGGGAACAACAATGTTTATTTTTTGTGTGATTAAGTTACTAAGTATCGCTGCTTGGGGAAGTTGCATACCAAAAATAAGCACTTTTGGTGAACGTACAATGATGCATTATTGCCTGGAGCAATGCATTTCACCGTCTTTAGCCAGCTGTGGCGCTATAGCTTAATAGTGGACCAATTAAAAAAATTGCTTTTCCCATTAGTCACTTATGCAAAAACATTGGTACATATAGTTGAATCTTGATTCCGGATGCTGATGATTATGATGTTTACAGTAAATTACATTTTTGATGTCTGTTTTACCTCTGGTAGTCCTCGTGTGTGGATCTCCTGCACTCTCGCACACACCGGCGAGGAACTCTGCGACCTGTTTTAGCGACAGGGAGTTGTGCAGCGTTTCCAGCGGATAGATGGAGGGTACCATGGAGCAGCCTTCGAAGCCTGCATCAGAGGAGAGACATGACGCCCGCAGGCACATCAGCACTCAGTTAGACCTCAAAGTCAGAAGAGGAGAAGGCAGAAAGCCACTCGTCACCCGACACCAATGCCCAGATGCCGCCCATATACTACACCTCCACGCGGTGCTCCTTAATCCTGCTCCTGTTTCTGAACAAGCCCTAAAACTCTTGCCAGCCCCTACTGTTCACTTCCACACAGGCAAGTTGCAAAAACACCATGCCAAGACAACTAGATACCAAATCCAACGGCAACAAGTCTACACACTCTTAGAATCTAGTTTTATTTGCAAAAGCAAGCAGGTCTCGAAAACATCCCTAACTGAGTTTGTGGTGAGTCCCAACACACAGAATCTGCTGCTCTAACAGCGGTAGGAAAAGCTGTCCAGTTAATGTTCAACGAACGTTACCCAAGGAACTTCATCCTCTGTTAGTTCACAACCAAGTCACCAGAGCCGTTCACGATGACAAAGCGTCAAACCACAGCTTGCCTCTATCGTCTAAACACGTCAAGAGAAGGCAGTTTTTACTGCGCTCATATACACCCAGTGTGAGTAAATGTACAGCAAACAAGCAGGAACCACATGCTGGTTATAGTCAGGTAGGACTGCTGATTCCACAGAGTTTCTGTACCGTTCAGAAACATGGACGCTGGCTGGTGCTGATAGATGATCTATTTGGAACAGGAACTATAATCTTGAATGGAGGCAGCTTTGTCAGCAGCAACCTGCTTATGTGTCACCTAAACATATACAGTGGGGCAAAAAAGTATTTAGTCAGCCACCAATTGTGCAAGTTCTCCCACTTAAAAAGATGAGAGAGGCCTGTAATTTTCATCCTAGGTATACCTCAACTATGAGAGACAAAATGAGAAAAAAAAAATCCAGAAAGTCACATTGTCTGATTTTTAAAGAATTTATTTGAAAATGATGGTGGAAAATAAGTATTTGGTCAATAACAAAAGTTCATCTCAATACTTTGTTATATACCCTTTGTTGGCAATGACAGAGGTCAAACGTTTTCTGTAAGTCTTCACAAGGTTTTCACACACTGTTGCTGGTATTTTGGCCCATTCCTCCATGCAGATCTCCTCTAGAGCAGTGATGTTTTGGGGCTGTCGCTGGGCAACACAGACCTTCAACTCCCTCCAAAGATTTTCTATGGGGTTGAGATCTGGAGACTGGCTAGGCCACTCCAGGACCTTGAAATGCTTCTTACGAAGCCACTCCTTCGTTGCCCGGGCGGTGTGTTTGGGATCATTGTCATGCTGAAAGACCCAGCCACGTTTCATCTTCAATGCCCTTGCTGATGGAAAGAGGTTGTCACTCAAAATCTCACGATACATGGCCCCATTCATTCTTTTACACGGATCAGTCGTCCTGGTCCCTTTGCAGAAAAACAGCCCCAAAGCCTGATGTTTCCACCCCCATTTTTCACAGTAGGTATGGTGTTCTTTGGATGCAACTCAGCATTTTTTCTCCTCCAAACACGTCTAGTTGAGTTTTTACCAAAAAGTTCTATTTTGGTTTCATCTGATCATATGACATTCTCCCAATCCTCTTTTGGATCATCTAAATGCTCTCTAGCAAACTTCAGACGGGCCTGGACATGTACTGGCTTAAGCAGGGGGACACGTCTGGCACTGCAGGATTTGAGTCCCTGGCGGCGTAGTGTGTTACTGATGGTAGCCTTTGTTACTTTGGTCCCAGCTCTCTGCAGGTCATTGACTAGGTCCCCCCGTGTGGTTCTGGGATTTTTGCTCACCGTTCTTGTGATCATTTTGACTCCACGGGGTGAGATCTTGCGTGGAGCCCCAGATCGAGGGAGATTATCAGTGGTCTTGTATGTCTTCCATTTTCTAATAATTGCTCCCACAGTTGATTTCTTCACACCAAGCTGCTTACCTATTGCAGATTCAGTCTTCCCAGCCTGGTGCAGGTCTACAATTTTGTTTCTGGTGTCCTTTGACAGCTCTTTGGTCTTGGCCATAGTGGAGTTTGGAGAGTGACTGTTTGAGGTTGTGGACAGGTGTCTTTTATACTGATAACGAGTTCAAACAGGTGCCATTAATACAGTTAACGAGTGGAGGACAGAGGAGGCTGAGGATGTGATTTTCTGGATTTTTTTTTTCTCATTCTGTCTCTCATAGTTGAGGTATACCTAGGATGAAAATTACAGGCCTCTCATCTTTTTAAGAGGGAGAACTTGCACAATTGGTGGCTGACTAAATACTTTTTTGCCCCACTGTACATATATTATGCCATCAAGGACCAACTGCCAATCGGATTCTACATGCAATATGTTGATTTATAAACAGTTTGTAGAGGAATATGCTGATTATGTATATGGTTCTATTTATGTCCTACTGCATACTTTACGTACGGGTAGGTATAGCCTTAGTGTTTTGATATGGACACCGTTGGTTCTAGGAATGTAAAATGTTTTCTCTACAAAAAGCCAGAAACGTAACACTAGCAGCAGGATTTTTGCTGCTATAAAATACCGTCTCAAACGATCAATTCCTGGTTTAGATCAAGTAAAATGTGATAAAAGAAAAGGCAGAAGAAATATGACAGTTTGATGGTTTCTGCTACACACAGTCTGAATATTAGTAGCTTTTGGGGAGAGTGAACACTGCTCAGTTTGTATTATTTCTTGTTGGTCATTTTATCAAAGAAGTTATTTTGCCCCCTGTCTGCTGTTACTGCAACTAGGTTTCCTTCCAAGATAAACAGTGTTTGTATTTTTAGGTGGCCTAAACCTAAAACTGAAAAGGTGTGTTGCTATGTGCATGATTCATTCAATCAGAATAGTAATGCCACTTTGTTTTGGCACATCAATTATAACTGCTTTTTGGTGAATTTACAATATATGTAAAAGTCATTGTTGGTAACGTACTTTGGGGAGTGTACATGTTTTCTTTTACTTTGAGTGAGGGAAAAATAAAGTGGGACAGACAAAAAGTCTGATATGTTAACCTGCAAAGTATTAAGTGTCGGACATTCATCATAATGGCAGCCCAAATCTTAAAATTGACATCTGAATGCTAAGATTTAATGGTGTCATTTTCTGTATTTCTGTTTAGGATCCATTTTAATCAGTTACTTAAGATTCTGCCTTTATTAGATTGACCAAACAATTAATTGATGAAATAATTGGTAGATTATTTCAAAATTAAATTTGTTTTTAGTGGCGCCCCTATATTGTATATCTTGGTACACCTAAATTGCGAAATATGTGCCTTCAATACTTTTTTCAGAAAAAGCTTTAGGAATAAAACAAAAATAACTGAGGATTTATGGATTGGCAAAAAGGGCAGGGGGTGGGTTACTAACACCACTGCAGATTGCCCCAAAACCTCACACCACTCCAGCTTGCAATCTGCATAACCACAGACACAGGCAAGCATGCAGAAACATCAAAAGGCAAAGCATGATGGTCCACCACAGAACAAGCACAGTCCAAACTGAAAACCGTGAGCAGCGGCTGAACAGGGTGTGAGGCTGCGGGTGTGGGGGCGGGGCCAGGGGGCTGACCGTGGAGGTACTCTACGGGGTCCTGGCCGGAGATGAGCCAGTTTCGGAAGAGGCGGAGGTGGTAGGAGCACTGGTGGAGGTGGTGGGCCAGCGCCCCGTCCAGAGAGAGGTGGCGGCCCAGGCTGAGGTCGGTGGAGAAACGCCTCAACAACTGGGCCACACGCTGCTCATCCAAGGGCTCTGAAGGAGAAGAGGGAGAGCGAGGGTGGACAGAAGAGGTGGAGCAGGGGAAAAAAGGCATGAAACGATATAGGATGGGAAATAAAATGAGGAGGAAGGAAGAGAGAAAAGAACTGAGGTATGATGCAGATGAGAGGGAGAATAGGAGTTTGGAAAGACAGGAAGGGAGGCAGAGAGAGAGGAAGGAGGAGTGTGTGTGTGCCAGAGGTGGGACCAAGTCATTGTTTTGCAAGTCCGAGTCAAGTCTCAAGTCTTTGCGCTCAAGTCCAAGTCTCAAGTCATTGTGCTCAAGTCCAAGTCAAGTCTCAAGTCAGGATGGGCAAGTTCAAGTCCAAGTCCTAAACTTTGACAAAACGAGTCATTAACAACTCATTATGTGCTTTTCACCAAATGTAATGACATCCATCAACAGAATAATACTTAATAATCCAACTGCTCTTTATTAGTCACATTAATAATTTAATAATCAATTATCCCTCTGCTGGTAAAGTAATGTGTTTTATTCTAATTTAAGAGGTATCAGTAAGGTAAGGCTACCGTGACGGTTTGATTCAGAAGGAGTTTAATGTGCAAGATCCCTGATGTTGAGGTGACCAGAATGTTTATTTCCACTGTGTACAACATGTTATAAGGGACCCACAATCTATCTTTATGCGAGGGATAATGTGCAGCGAGGCGGTCTCTATGGGGAAAAGAACACCTGCATCTAGATCCCTCTGCAGGTGGTACTTTTAGTATATTTTGATGCTAATACTTTTGTACTTTTACTTGTAACATTTTGAATGCAGGATTTTTTATTGTAACCGAGTATTCCTACACTCTGGTACTTTTACTCAAGTACAAGATCTGAACTTCTCCCACCTCTGACAATAAATCCTGAGTGGTTACCAAAAAGTGGTTTTCGCTAATTTCTTGACTTTTTCCGACGAGCTTGCATTTAAATCTGTCTCCCTGTCGCTCTGTGTAGCTGGCCTGTACCACTAAACCTACTTTCTTTGGAGCGTCTGCCCCCCACCCTTCTTTCACATCATGGTATGATCCTAGTGTGTCCTCGCATATGATTGGCCGCATGGTGGCCCAGCTAAATAAAGACCCGCCCCTGCCTGCAATGAATCTCAGCAAGAGTAGGAGCTGATGAAGATTCTGCTCTCCCCAACGGGAGTCTGCTCTTCTAGCGGTATCTCGCGATCGGCGTGTTGGAGACCTCTGAATTAAATTATCAAGCCACTTCAAGTCAGAAGGCTCAAGTCCAAGTCAAGTCCTGAGTCATTGGTGTTCAAGTCCAAGTCGAGTCGCAAGTGTTTTGTGATTTTGTGAAGTCGAGTCCAAAGTCATCAAATTGGTGACTCAAGTGTGACTCGAGTCCACACCTCTGGATTATAGAGTGCAAAGGAGCAGAAGATGACAGCTCGATGTGGCCTCGATGCACTGTATGTACTTGACTGGCGCAGGGCAGGGTTCACCAGAATAGGTGGGAGGAGCCTGTGACCTCCATCCTAGAACAGCTTTCAGTATTCAGCCTGTGAAACAAGAGGAATACATCACACACATAAGTTCCCTTTGCATAATGAGCTTCCAAACACCAGGATGCCACAGTTTACACCAAATCTCCAGCATATAAAAAAAAAATGATGCTGTTTTTGTCTAACGATAAACTACATTTGATGGCTTCCAATTCAAGTTCTAACCTACATAAACAACCAACATGTACATTATCAGTTGTTAGAGGGTTTTCTGCCCTGCTGTTGACAATATCCCTTCAATCTGACAAAAAAACGATCCTCCAGACTTGTGCTGTTGACTCTGAGATAACTTATGACACATGAGTGCAAGTGATTCTGTTGTGCTACAGTACACGCTCATTTCATCTGAAGAGATATGGTGGGGATGGTGTCAGATGGTGACTCACAAGAACAAATGGGAAGCTGGGACACTCAGTCCAGGAGGACTTCCTGTTGTGCAGCCTGTTGTTTACTCTGACGGCCAACATTCAACATGTTGGGCAGGTTTTGTCCGGGCATGTGTTATAAATGATGTGATTCAAACTTTACTTTTGAAATCTTGTTTGACTTGACAGTAGAGCACAAAATGAAGAGCTGAAATTAGTGAGTGGAGATACGGCTCTTAGACAGGTCGAGGACCTGCTAGCTCACAACTATAAATGAACAACAACAGTAAAATAATCAATCAATCAATGTTTATTTTAATGCTGTCAAAATTATCGCTTTAACAGCGGTAATGAATTTTTTGAATTAATTGCGTTAAAATATTTAACGCATTTAACGCATGTGGAGAATGGCCCGCCCCATACATCCCACCGGTGGCAACGCTGGGGTAGGCTACAGCCATACCAAGAAATGGCTTAGCCCCACCTTAGCCCCACCATGAAAAATGATGTTAGCAAAAGCTAAATAAAGTCTGCCAACTCGCGCTGAGTAAATTGCACAGACAGCAGTTAGTAAGATTGATTTCAGTAGTCACTTGTCTGGAAATACCGAAGACTAGAAACGGTTTTGAAAACTTTTGTCACGTAGTGATCGTCTTCTCAATAGAACATCTTTGATAATGTCTTCTGGCCAATCAGAATCAAGATAACGGCGTGGTGTTGTTGCAGGAAGTCCTCACGGAGAATACTTTTGCTTTAGTACATCTCTATATACATCGATACAACATTACGTGTTGATAGAAATCAACACGTAATGAAATAAGACCCCACGGTTTGATGATTGATAGGTGTGTGGGCTGTCTTTAATTTTGACACACAGAACAATGTTATAATAAACATACTGTATGTTAAATGGATATATCCGCCTTCTTTCATTTATCTTTCCATTCCCACAACAATATACAAAAATAAATGGCATAGGCCTATGTTGGACATAGTTCAAATGGTGATTAATCATGATTAATTATTTTTTAAGCTGTGATTAATCTGATTAAAAATTGTAATCGTTTGACAGCCCTAATATAATATATATATATATATATAGAGAGAGAGAGAGAGAGAGAGAGATAGAGAGAGAGGGAGAGGGAGAGAGAGAGAGAGTATATGGAAGGTGTTATCATTCCTCTTAATAAGGGCTGTTAAGTGATACCTTCAAGTTAAACCATACTGTCAAGGATGGTCCAAAATGAGAGGCCCATATTTCTCATTTTAACTTGTTGGTTTTCAATAAAAAGGTAGCCTAGTTTTGTTTGAAAATGTAAAATGTTCTTTAACCAATGTTTGAGATCATTCGCCAAATAAAAAAGCATAATTCTCATTTCCATCCACTAGTGTTACAAGAATATTAAGAGTTAAGCACATCGAAATATAAAAATGGTAATATCCCTTTTGGAAACCATTCAACCAGTGACGAACATATGAAACAAAATTAAATTGTAAAAAGAAAGCCATTTAGATTGAAAACAATGGAAAACCGAGTAAAAACACAACGGAAATGTTATTCATGTTAATTTTAGGTATTCAATTCAGGAATGTTAAAGTCTCCATAGTGGAACTAACACGTAAATGTCATTTTGAAAGTGTCCGTGTTCCTAAAGTTTTAATACATTTAAAACACCCACCAACTCTGGCCATGAAGAATCTAACACCAGTCAACCATGATACAGTAATTAATTAACTACTTCCTGTTTAATCTAATTAAACAGGTTGTCAGCGCGAGAGCTCAGCCTTGAGACTTTCATCACTCACCTTTTCTTGGATCCAGCCCCACAAAGTTTGACTTGTATATAATTAGACAGGTGTAGCCATTCTGATTGCTTTTTCTTCACATTAATTAGCGGTGGATAATTAGTTAAAACGAACACTAATCTGGGTACCAAGGCTCTTTATCTTCTGGAGCCAAGTGAAGTCACGTAACTGTGTGAATAGTTCAAATGCCATAGTCAGCAACACAGCCACCTCTTTTTTTGGGGGGGGGTTGGGGGGGTTATGGCTTTTTATAACTTGAAATGTCAGCTCAATCCAAGCCATTTGTGGCTCACACATGAATGAGTGTTTTTTTTGTTTTTTTTAAAGGCAGATTTAGGTCAGATTTCGAAATATTCATAATGACAAGTGAACATTTTTGGATACATTTTCCTCCTTCTCACCGATAGCAGCAAAGGTTCAAATAGCAATTATGCAGTTTCAACAGACATTGTGCAGCTTTTATGCATAATCCCCCGAGTATGTAATTGGAGATGTCAGAACATGTTATTGTAATGAAGGTTTCCCGTGGGAGAAGAGCTTACTCAGGTGCCAATGAGACCAGAACAAATATAATGTAACTTTCATTTTTCAGACCTACCAATTGATTTTCCATTAGGTATTATTTGGTGGCCCTGAAGTGCAAGTCAAAATAACATTTCGCAAAACACTACAGCATTTCACAAAACACCACACCATTTCACAAAACGCCTTTCGGGAGAACACTTCTTGTTTGTGATTGGACACAGCCAGCCAGAGAAGCACTGCTGTTATTGGTTGTTTTTGCTGCCAGTCAAGAAAGTATGCTTCGTGATTGGTCAGCACCCGACAGCGCAACATGTCCCAAAAACATCAGCTGTTAGCTTTTAGCACACCACAGCTCCTCATATCTGTTCAGAAACTGGACACAAGTTAAACATGAACAAACCACAGACTGTCTATGTCATGGTGAATACAGTTGCTGCTTTATTTATGTCTGTATGCCATTGTTATGAGTTTGGACGGAGCAGCTACAGGTTGGTTTATCCTGATCGATCCGGTCTCCATTCAGAAAACATGCATTTTAAAAGGTCTTTCGCCTGCCGTCTTGTCTGCACACTTGTCAGAGCATTAATTCATGATTTTTACTAACTATCAGTGTGTTGTTACTTCGGCATCATTTTGAAACGTGTATTACAATTAAATCACGGTAAAATATGTTCATTTTGTTGTAGCCTACCATAGTATTTACATGGATATAAGCCCCCTATGATAATAGGAAGAAAGAGGAGCAAGAGAAAGAGAGATATATATAGAATACTTTAATAAGTATAGAAAATATGCAACCCGGTATCACGGCAAGACGTGAACATGTGACGATTTACCATGCTGGGAGACGTGAAGATGTCACAATTTCGTCCCTTCAAACGTGACAGTTACACTGTATTGTTAACATGGCCCAAATACCTGGAAATTCCAAGCAAATGCTGTAACACGACGGTCGGTTGTTATTGTCAATATTAATATAATAATGATTTATTTTTTAATAGTCACACTCGATTTCGCCGATTTTTCTTGTTTCCCCAGCTGGTCGACACCTCTTTTAGCAGAAACAAAGGCTACATTAATGTATTAAATCGATGTTAATCCATGTGTGCGGTTGTTGAATTAACGGACGTGACGTTGTGCGATTGCGTTGAGAGGCAAAAACTTGGCTTCATGTTAATTTACAAACTCTTCAACTAGAACCGTAGTTATATTTAAAGAGCATCTTTCAGGTTTTTTTTTTTTCTACATTTATGCTTAAACTTGCTTGAAAATTACAATTAAAAAAGTGAATGTAGGATTTGATATGTTTTACGAGACATAAGGGCAGGAATTCAGAGGGAAAGGAGCAATTTTGAGCTCTGCTCTTAAAAAACTGCTTTTTTTTAAGGTCATACGTCAAACGCGTCATATTACATAACAAAGGGTAAACATCTCCGCTCTCTGACCGCGGGTATAGTTAGTAGTTGCGTTGAGTTGAGCGGTTGTGTTTTAGTGAGCTGGTATTTTTCGGTAGTTTTACATTGTATTTCACCATTTGTAATCATGGTGCAGTATTGTGTTTGTGCAGGTTGCACAAATACCAGCCTGTCAGGACATCGAGTCCACAGTAAAATGGACCGGAGCTAGCGTTCGTTCCTGGGTGCGTTGTGCATCCACCTCCCTGCAGCACATACTCTCCACAGCTTTATCAGGAAACCGTATTACCCTCCGGTACACGGCACTGTAAGACGTAGTGTGAAGTTGCATTATGTAACGCTGTGGTGGCTGTACTGCTCCAGCCGTCTCCTTTGTGTTTGTTTGTTTCCCCCTGTCTGTGTTGTTTGTGTGTGCGTGGTGGCTGTCACTCCTGGCTCCCGGCTCAACCTCCACTCACCTGCTGCAATCAGCTGTGCACCCTCCCCGACTACACACCTGCTTTCCATCAAGCCATTTACAACGACATATCAACGGAGGCTCCACAACCTTTCTCCGCCAGATCGTCAGAGTATCAGCCGTATCTCGCGTCTCTCCTCCGGTTACACAGCACCGTAGTGTGGAGTTGCATTAGGTAACGCGAGATACGGCTGATACTTGCGCATTAGTTTCTGTTATGGATCAGTATCAACAGTCCTGCCAGTAACGTTACTATATTATCAATGCTACTTTAGTTATAGCCTGATATATGATAGCTAACTTTACAATGTTGTGATGTGACGTTAGCTAACATTCTGTAGCTAACGCCGGTCACTCACCAAGATAGCTGCCCAGTTCTCCTCTGGTTCTCCTCACACCACAGCTCAATTTCTCTCCGATGGCCGTTATTTCTTCTAATCCTTGGCTGCTCCTGGTCTCTTGGACGCCTAGCAGGCTCATAATTATAAGGTTGTGGTCCGTCATATGCATTCGAATATTCATGTTCAACTTCTTCTGTGTCTTCTGTGTCGAAACTAGCTTTGGGATCCATGTTTATTAATACGTTACACCGGCCGCTCTGCCCCTTGTTTCCCCCATGTTACGTCACACGCGGGAGGTCACGTGCCGAGGCTTTTTTATGCGGAAGTGAACATTTCTTACAAAAACGACGCCAGATGTCACTGTAGTGTATATTTCTGTATATTTTTTTGAAAATCTAGTGTATTCATCATTTTCCTACACATTTATTCACAGGTGTCTTTAACCTGGAAGTTGCTCTTTAAAAACATTTTAGAAGGCCTCACGAAATACTTTAATGTAAATTAAAATGTAAATGTGAAGGACTGTGTGTATAACAAAATACATCCTTCAGAAACAATACCGGAAACAGACGTAGGCAAGATCCTTAGCTCGGTGATTTGGATGGTTTAGCCGCAATGCAGGTTGGGATATGGTGTTTATTCAATGTGAAATCCGGATTTTTTTTTTTTAAATAATACTTTATTCCAAATGTGCTTGCTTTTCTCTTTGAAAGTCATCACATAACGGCATTGTAATACACGGTTCGGCTGCATTAAATATTACATATCTGCCGTAGTTCTCTATTTATAGAGCCTTCTAGACAAACAGGAAGAACTTTTTTATTCGGATTTCACGTCGCATAAACACCATATCCCAACATGCATTGCGGCTAAACCATCCAATAACCGAGCTCAGAATCTTGCCTACGTCTGTTTCCGGTATTGTTTTTTTACATTAAAGTATTTTGTGAGGCCTTCTAAAATGTTTTTAAATATAACTACGGCTCTAGTTGAAGAGTTTGTAAATTAACATGAAGCCAAGTTGTTGTCCGTTAATTCCACAACCGCACACATGGACTAACATCGATTTAATACACTGATACCGGGTTGAAAATAGGAAGCAGAAGGACACATAAGAAAGGAGAATGTAGAGAACGGTAGGGAGGGAGGATGGCCAGAGGACAAGATGAGAAGGGATGACAAAAGGAAGCAACGTCAGCCTGTAACTGTAGCCTGTACTGAAAGGCTAGGGAGGAGAAGAGGGGGAAGACAAGAGTGATCAGCCCCGTTATTGGCAAGTTTACGCGTGTTTTCAGCATTAATAAATCTCTCAATTTTCTTGCGAGTCTATAGCAGGTACTTGGAGAGGGTTGTTGATGGTGTGTAGGCAACACCATTATCAACCCAATATCCATTGTAAATGTTATAGGCTTTCTCTCACTACTTTAATAACTAAACGTATGTGTTCTAAATGCAGGGTCATAATAGATCATCATCAAAAGACATCACTCCACTTTTCTACACAATAAAATACAGAAATTGTATTGGCACATGAATTATATATTTTCTTTTATTTCTGTCAAAGACTTTTGAAGCAGCAAGGGCTAACCAGAAACGGCCTTTTTCCTTCATGAATAAATCATCTGAACTTTCACACATGCACACACACAAGAAGTGCACAATGAAATACATACACAGTGAATGTTGTATGTTAACGTCTGTTTCCCAAAAAAATAAAAGATTAAAACAGTAAACGCAGCAACGTTTAACATTTTCTTGTATGACTTATAAATAACCTCAATAAATCCCTCAACAATAAATCACTTTAATACAATTTGTATTCTTTGGGGGACTTTTAGATATTACTTAATACATGACATATTTGATGCGGATATTAATTACCTCGCTTCACATTTATGCTTTGGATTTTAAAGGGCCCATGTCATGGCCATTTCTACTGATCATAATTCCATTGTTGAGGTCTACTAAAATAGATTTATACTGTGCAATTTTCCAAACTCACATTGCTTCCTCATACAGCATCTCTGTAAAGTATGTGTATCTCCAGAGAGATACACATACTTTACAGAGATGCTGTATGAGGAAGCAATGTGAGTTTGGAAAATTGCACAGTATAAATCTATTTTAGTAGACCTCAACAATGGAATTNAGCCTCAAAGGGCGGAGCAGCGAGCCCCGCAACGTTCCGCCAACACAGCACCCAGACCCCACGCAGCATTCTCATCTGTTTGTCATTACTGGTGCTTATGGTTAAAGAGATAACATTGCGTACAGTTTACTAGCTGAACTGCTCGTAACTGAAATTGAAGGATACATTTTTATTTTATTTTATCATTTATTGATATTTCTGTTGCCCTAAGAAGAGCATATTAATTGGATGTTACCGTTGACATCAACTCACTCTTGCACTCTTCAGGATGGAGCTACGCTGTGTCATTGCCGTCATCCGACATGGAGACAGAACGCCCAAACAGAAGATGAAGATGGAAGTTCGCAACCCAATGTAGGTTTCCTGTGTTCCTGTGGTTCCTTTTCAATGAAAAGATATATCAAATATGTTCTGTTAATGAATACTCTGTCTCTCATTCATGCAGGTTCTTTGATCTTTTTGAAAAATATGGAGGCTACAAAACAGGGAAATTAAAGCTGAAGAAGCCAAAGCAACTGCAGGTAACAATAAGTCAGAGAAAGCTGATTTGAGTAGGTTTGACCTCGTAAAGCTTCACCACAAATCTCCCAGCTCCCTGTGGGTGATTAGCTCTGTGTGTGAGAACTCTGACGGCTTGTTGCTCTGACCCAACAGGAGGTGCTGGACATCACACGGCAGTTGTTAGCAGAACTAGGACAGGACAATGACTGCGAGATAGAAGAGAAGAAGTCTAAACTGGAGCAGCTGAAGACTGTTCTGGAAATGTGAGTCAAACAAACTGGGCCACTTTATTAACCATTAAAAACCCTATTTTATATTAATTAATGTCAGCAAGTATAAAAAGTATTCAAAGGGATTTTGTTGGATGAAAACGAATGTTTGTTGTCCACAGCTGTATTGTTATCCCTAGCAGTGGTCTGTTACCGAGTATAAACACCCTCTGAAATGTCCAAATCATTAAGTACCAATCAGACTTGAGTATTCAATTGAGTATTTGTGTAAAACAAAATGATGAAGTGATTTGGTATTAATTTGGTTATATGCATAGTTGCATGTTCTGGTGCTCTGCTTCCTTTTGCGTTAAAGTGGTTGGAAGAGAGTTTCCTAAGTTTGTCTTTGGCTTCCTTCCCTGCCTATTATGACAAATGAGTTTGTAAAAGGTCACCATCTGCCATACACAACTTTCAAGAGCCTTTGATGTGCAGTGAGTTACGGCTGCAGTGTTTGTCCTGTTAACAGAGCAGTAGAAACATTGGGGTTATTGTCTTCATGTAACCTTTTTAAAGGCTCAGATTGTCATGGCACATACAAATGCACAACTTCAGTCATGTATTCTTCAAAAAAGGTATCTAAAGATATTGTTTTTCTCAGCTCAATATGGAAGATCGTCGTTATGTCCGTGTTGTGATTGTCCTTGAGCTAATCTCACAAGTTACTGAACTCATCAGCCTAATATCTTGTGCACATGTATGACTGCTTAAGGACCTGTAAAACCTTTCTAGTATTGTGATAAGGGATTACCAGCCTGTAACTGCACGTCCTGTTTCTTAGTCAACATCACATTGTTAGTGGTCGTCATTTCTATTAGCAATGGCAATTTACTAAAGATGATTTTGTTATTGTAGGTAGAAGAAGTAATACAATCATGTTTATCTATCCAAGCTTAATTTTGTAATGAACCTATTTCTATTTCCTTGCTTATTAAGGTACGGCCACTTCTCAGGTATCAACAGGAAAGTGCAACTAACTTACTTGCCCCATGGGCAGCCCAAAACCTCAAGTGAGGAAGAAGGTAGGAAGAAATCAGGGCACATTTTTCAAAATATGATGCTTTCAAGCTAAAACGGGCCAAAATGCTGAATACTGGGTCCTTTTGATTGCATTTTCAGATACGCGTAAGGAGGGTGCATCTCTGCTGCTGGTGCTGAAGTGGGGGGGAGAGCTGACTCCTGCTGGCAGAGTCCAGGCTGAGGAGCTGGGCAGGGCCTTCCGCTGTATGTACCCCGGGGGTCAAGGTGAGACACATGGCTTGTTTTCCTACTGGAAAGAAAGGTTACGTGGTATTTAATTCTGCTAGATTTCAATGAAAAGAACACCTTTGACCACCTCCTCATGTTTGTCGAAGTGTTTCTTGGCAAAACACTTAACCTCAAACTGTTCCTGTAGGCAAGTCTGTGGTATTGAGTGTATGTAAGTCGCTTTAAAGACACATTCCCCCCCTGCCCCCTTTTGTTTACTTCCGTAACATAATAACATCACTACGTAACACTTGGCTGTAAAGAAAAGAGAGGAGGGGGAGAGAAAGACAGTTGAAGCATTTAGTAAAGGTATTCCAGGGTCTTTCGCCAAAGAACATGAGATGTTAGGACTGGGATGTAAACAAAGGAACCTGGACAAGGAAAGTGTCCCTCTTCATTAAAGCAGAGCAAATAATCACAGGAAAATTTAGCCCATTACCGAGGGGTCACGGGTTTAAAAAAAACGTATTTTCTTAAGATCCTAGGTGGGAGTTATTTCCTACCAAGGTGGGGTCATCTTTTCAGTAACTGTGCTAATTACTCACAAAAATGCAGATAGTTTACAGTGACTTTTACACCAGCAAGGTCTGTGTCTGTTTACTCATGTTATTGTTGTCTTCAATGTGTTTCTGTAGGAGACTATGCTGGATTCCCAGGCTGTGGGTTACTGCGGTTACACAGCACCTACAGACACGACCTGAAGATATACGCGTCCGATGAAGGCCGGGTGCAGATGACGGCCGCTGCTTTTGCAAAGGTGTGCAGAATTCCAGGACTCTTTGACAGCTCCATACAAAATAGACATTTCATCACTGTTGCTAGGTGTCAGCGTTGATACAAAAAATAAATAATGCCTTTTGTAATTACCTTTAAGCTGTTACTTTTTTCATACAGAGATACGTTATATGATATTGTCCTCAGCTGTGTGAGTCTAGAATGGAAAAGAAAGTAGGTAAAACAAGCTGGAGTCAACATCTCGGTTGAATAGAAATAAAACAGCACGGAGGAAACAGGAAACAGGAAAGGAGAGATATTTTCAGAAGAAAGCAAGTGTTCTACAAAGTACAGCAAACTTTTAGACAATTCATTTTTGCCTTTTAGAGATTAACTTTTCTTTTTATGACAATGGACCGCTGAGTACCATTAGCTGTTGATTGGTAAACTAAACTGTCACATATTATTTGCAAAATAAGTGTGACTGTATATTTTTGTAGTGGAGAAATAAATGTCAAAATCAGTCGTGTTGCAAAATATCAGTGATTTCTTTCTTTGTCCCAGTAAAACAGCTCATGCTATTTGTGAGATATCAAAGTATTGGCCACCCTGTGAAAAACCAAAAGATCTAATTATCATGTTTGCATCAAAGATGTTGCCAAAACAAATCACCACAGATTACCACCTCATTGTGTCTGTGTGTGTGTGAGCAGGGTCTGCTGGCGCTGGAGGGGGAGCTGACACCCATCCTGGTACAGATGGTGAAGAGCGCCAACATGAACGGGCTGCTAGACAACGACAGTGACTCGCTGAGCAGCTGCCAGCACCGCGTCAAGGCCCGACTGCACGACATCCTGCAGAAGGACAGGGACTTCAACGAGGAGGACTTCGACAGGGTGATTACATTAAAGAGGCCCTATTAGGCTTTTTTCCCTTTCCTGTAGTCGGTTATATATGTTTTCTGCATGTAAATGCTTAGGGGCGGGACATCTCTAAGCAGTCGACCAATCTCAACAGAACCAGCCAGCTAACCAATCAGAGCAGACTGAGCTCTGGTTTCAGACAGAGGGCGAAAAGAGGTGCTGCATCACAGGCAGTATGAGAAAAATGAAGAGATTCTTTAACATTAGAGTATGGAATAATGTCACAGTAGAGCAGTGCTTCTCAAAGTGTGGTCCCCGGACCACTGGTGGTCCATGAGCGCCCCACTGGTGGTCCATGAGCGCCCCACTGGTGGTCCGTGAGTGCCCCCTAGTGGCCCGTGAGTATATTGGTAAAATTTCACATTTGAAATAAATTTATTTATTTAAGTTTTCCGCACTCTCGTGGGAATATCTCCGCAATGGAGCGAGCTTAAGTTTCACTTTCAATTGCATGATATAGCTCAGATAACACCTTCATTACACATGTTGCCACTTGTTTGTACCATTTTCAGGCGATTTGTAAAAAACAATGTGTTTTTGGATATTTGTGGAGTTAGGTGATCCACGAGTGTTTTTTTATTGGTTAAGTGGTCCTTGGTATGAAAATGTTTGAGAAACACTGCAGTAGAGGCACAACATACAAATATGTAGGGATGGGTATCGTTAAGGTTTTAACGGTACTACTACTTTTATTGATTCCGCTTATCGGTCCGGTCTTTTAACGGTACTTTTATCGGTTCTTTTGGAGAAAAAAATAAGGTAAACTAACTAAACAAATTGTGAACAAAACTAACAAAATAAATAACTCAGTTACCTCTAATCATTAACCCATATTTGTATAATTGAGTTAACTCTGTGTTGCTGCTAGCATACATAACACCTGACGTGGAAAAGTTACTCGTGGATGGAGCTACTAGAAAGACAGTTGAACCCGGTGCATTCCTCCGTCTGAATGTGGTGCACTTTTGCTAAATGTTTAGACAAATTGCTTGTGTTACCGCCCTTACATGCTAAACTCTTATTGCACTTTTGGTAACGAGCATTGAGACGGGTAAAGTTTAACCACACCTCGGATCGCGTTCTCTCCGCCGTCTCCTCCGTGTGTGTGTGTTTCTGCATGTAGCAGCTAAGTGTGTGTAAACTGCCCCGCCCCCTCGCAAGCAGGCGGGGGAGAAAGATCGAAAATACTAAAAATAATCATAGAAGCATTTTTGCAGTCTTTTTGCATGTTAGAAACTGAGTTGGCGACACTAAAACTGCAATATAATGTTTGTGTAGCAATAATACACATGACATATATTTTTTACATGTCTCCAGTACCGATAAAAAGACCGCTAACGTCGGAGCTTAATGGTACCACGGTCTTTAATAATTCAGCCCCGGGGCCCGTTTAATACCGGGGCTCCGTACCCATCCCTACAAATATGAAACCTGAAAATTAGCATAAAATGTCCTCTTACAATTTCATTGAATTTAGCTGACGCTTTTATCGAAAGCGTATTACATTAAGTGGATTCAGAAATGATAACTATTATTTGTCAAGGTTAAACCGCTGGGTCTTTATTCTGCGAGCTCGTTCCACCACTTTGCAGCTAGGATAGCAAACAGGCGTGTTTTTGTTGATAACAAACTGTGTACAACACCCTTAGCTGACTGCTTTATGTGCGCCTGACAAGGTAGGGAGGAAAACAACATTGAGAAACACTGTCGTATTAAACTGCAGACTTGTGTGTGCAGCCTGTTGTTTTGAAATAGGAAGCGCATGTGATGTCTTGCGCCATTTGTCATTTCCTTTTTTTGTGGCTAGTTTCAGCTTAATTACAATAATTAACAAACGCAGCTAAGAGTTCAGTCTGTAGATCATAGAGAGGCAAGGGCCGAGATGTTCTTCTTTTGTAAGTAGGAAAAAACTGGGACACATGGGACGGCTGTCCGTGCCAGTAATTCTTGGGATAACCAATGTTGAACCAGATAACCAAGGCGTGATACCTTTCTTTAAATATATGTTGTTCTAATACCCAGCTCACTGGGGAAATTCTAGCTGCAGTGAATTCATTTCATTGCAAAGGTTGATCCGCTCACAGACTCGTGTTGTGGTTATACTTGGATGCAAACATGTTTGTGTGCTTGTCAAAAATCTTTCCGGTACAGCTACTCCTCCAAAAGTGTTTCTTCAAATAGTAATGTGATCTCACTTAACTTCAACTACAAATTAGAGAATGTATTTTGACTAATGTCTCCCACAGTACTAGTTAGAATGAGAGAATAATACTAAGAGACAACCTGATTGTCTGTGACCAAATCTCCTTTGATCATTCAGAAGGTCAATGACCTGGTCTTGAGCTAACTTTTAAGCATTCATTATATTTCCTAATTTTGTTCTATTATATCAATTAACAAAGGTTTAGCAGCCTTGCACTTATAAGGTCAGCATCTGTTCTGTTTGATTTCATTAAATACCTTTTTGTGCTTTTTTTTTTTCATTTGGTGTGCATGTGACAGCTGGCCCCAACCTGTACTTCTTCTGTGGTGAATTCAATGAAGATTGTGGAGAACCCTGTGGCCACATGTGACCAGGTCTACGCCCTCATTCAGAGTCTCACCTCGCAGATCCGCAAAAGGATGGAGGACCCCAAGTCAGCTGGTGAGCAAAAATCTGCCATAAATAGAGCTTTTAGAGTATATAGGGTTTTTTTTTTTAACTACTTTAACAGATGTTGAAATCCACTTGGATCCGTCTTCATTTTCTTGAAATGTTGTACACTATTATCTTTTTTAATTTACACACAGTACCTATTGCACGTCTCTCCATCCTGGGAGAGGGAGCCCTCTTCTGTTGCTCTCCCAGAGTGTTGAATGCTGTACGCAATGAAAAGCACCCTGAGGCAAATGTGTAATTCGTCATATTGGGCTATATAAATACAAATTGATTGATGTATAGATGAACGGTTTTCTTTTGTTTAAGGTGATGCCTTAAAAAGTATTTGCAGGATAACTCTCATCGATAGAAACACATTTCTATCAAAATGAAATAGAGTTTGGTTTATAATGCAATGCCAATGATCTTCTTTCTCTCCCTTCACCAGACCTGCAGCTGTACCACAGTGAGACTCTGGAGCTGATGCTGCAGCGCTGGTCCAAACTCGAGAGAGATTTCCGCATGAAGAACGGCCGCTACGACATCAGTAAAATCCCAGACATCTACGACTGTGTGAAGTACGACGTTATCCACAACGCCACTCTGGGCCTGGAGGACACACTGGAGCTGTTCAGACTGTCTCGAGCTTTGGCCGACATCGTCATCCCACAGGTGAGAGAGGAGGGAGGGGGGTGAAGGACCAGCTGGGGAGGAGACGGTTCTATATCTGGGGGGTTTGAGATTTTCTCAGAAAAATAAAATCACAGTAAATTAACTAACTCTAAAAATCTCGAATAAAGCCTTTATTGCTAATAATAATGCATAACGCTTTATAAATCTCATGTATTTATTATTACGTTTTTTTATTTATTTTACTTCTGTCAAAGCTTGTCTGTTTCAAATTCTTTCAAATGTAAAAGGCACACATAAGAATGAAGTTGCTATGCGAAACAAAAGTCGAAATCCTGGACATATTTATTGTGCGCTGGTCCATGATACTGTTGACATGTTCCTTAGCGTCCCCCTTGACTTCTTTAAGACCACTGATCTTGCTCCATATAACGTGATGCAAGGAATTTACACTCAAAAATGATTTAAGGTATTATCTTTTCAGCAGCTGTGTAGCGTTTTTTTAATCAAATGAGTGTTTATTTTTGCAGGAATATGGCATAAATAGAGTGGAGAAGTTGGACATAGCATACACCCACTGCCTCCCACTGGTCAGAAAGATCCAGCTCGACCTGCAGAGGACCCACGAGGACGAGTCTGTCAACAAGCTGCACCCTCTGTGAGTGCATTCTTTAAATTGATGGCTGTTTAGATGGCTGCAAAGTGTTTTGAATGACTGATATTTTGAAGCATCTAGTACAATAGCGTTTTGTCTGCAGGTACTCTCGAGGGGTGATGTCTCCTGGGCGCCATGTCAGGACACGTTTGTATTTCACCAGTGAGAGTCACGTCCACTCCCTGCTCAGCATTTTCCGCTACGGTGGCTTGCTCGACGTGAGTAATGAAACATCAATCCTACTGAACTGAAACTGTTTCTAAGATGGGGTAAAAGTGAAAACTAAGGTTTGTTTTCGATAGGAGGAGAACGACCAGCAGTGGAAGCGTGCCATGGATTACCTCAGCGCCGTCTCTGAACTCAACTACATGACTCAGATTGTCATCATGCTGTATGAGGACAACAATAAGGTAATGTTTTTGTTGGTTTGTTTATCATGTTTTATTATCTATAGCCATAATGGCACAACATTGTATCTTTCTGGTATCTCCAATTTGTCCGTCCGTCTGTGTGTGCGTGAATACATTTGTATTTGTTTTAAAAATATAAATAAAAACTAAAAGGTCAACCCAGATTTGAAACCTTCTCAACTTGTTTTATTATCCGAAGGTTTTTGATATAATGTCATTTTTTTAAATGCAAGGAAAGTAAAAATGGAAGTTTTTGGAAGAGTAAGGTCATTTGAAACTATTGCACCAGTGCTAACAATGTTTTGGCTTATTTGAAGCGAATTTACCTGCAATTTCTTCCTTTTCTGGTCTTCATGATTTATTTATTTATTTATTTTAAAAGGCTAGTTTTTGTATGGCTGTTGTAAATGTTAACCAAATTAAACACATCATAACAAATGTAATTCAATTGGTTTATCATATTTAAATCTGTAGAAAAGCACATAAAGACCATATTTCTAATATGGCTGTCCCGCCCAATAGGATCTGGCCTCTGAGGAACGCTTCCATGTGGAGCTTCACTTCAGCCCCGGTGTGAAAGGCGTGGAGGAGGAGGAGAACGCACCGACCGGCTTCGGCTTCAGGCCCGCTTCTGCAGAGGTAGCCCGGCAGGTAGTATCCTGTTGAAGTGTTCTTTCTGTGTTTCAGTTCAGCAGATAGCAGCATGCGTATGCTCTCCTTATTCTCTCTGAACACACAGAACGGGCAGAAGCAGACGGATCCCGGCAGCCTGGAGGACCTCTCGCGAGATGAGACTGACCGCGCCGTGCCGCTGTCTGAGCCAATCACCATTCAGAGGAAGTCCCCACTCATACGCAATCATAAGACAGGATCCATGGAGGTGATGCAGACTCATCCACCTAGACACCTAAGAAGCAGACTCTTTTCACCAGAAGCTGAAATCAGTTTCTTTAATGTTAGACTTGAGGAGTTATGGCTATAAAAGCTACTATCAAAGATCAATCACTAATCTGGTCAACTCTAAGCTATGTATTTGTTTAGATTTGTTAAAGGGGTGTGTGTGTGTGTGTGTGTGTGTGTGTGTGTGTGTGTGTGTGTGTGTGTGTGTGTGTGTGTGTGTGTGCGTGCGTGCGTGCGTGCGTGCGTCCTACCAGGTTCTGTCAGAGACATCTTCCTCCAAAGTAGGCAGTTATCGCCTCTTCTCGTTATGCTCACGTCAATCCCCCGAGATGAAGCAAAGTGGATTAGGTAAGTGTATTAATACACTGTTTCCATGGCAACTGTTTGTAGATGGCTGTGGGAATTGTATTAAAGGGATGGGGACGGGCAGACCGATTTCATTTGAGAACTTTTGATCTGGGAGGGTGCTAACACTAACGGTAATTTTTAGGGTGGTCACAATGCGATTTTCTATTTAAACCTTTTTCTATTCTATGGTATAGATTTGTAAAGATCAACAGATCACTGAACTATGTACATTTACATTTTCACGCACCCTTATGTTGTACGTTATCAAATGTGTAGTTGATATTCAATTTAGAATCAAAGTTGTGACACCCCTAATAATCTAAGACCTAAAAGAGGTCTGTTTTCACTGTGTGGGGGGTGCATGTAAGCAGCTGGTGTTTACAGTATGTCTCCACATGGGGATGTATATGTGTCTGCTAATGAATGTGCCTGTCATACTCTCAACATACAATGGAAATGACTAATGGTGCGGTGGCTTAATTTTCAGCCTGTTTTGGGATCTAAATAAGTATTCCATTAAACGTCTTATATCTGACCGTAACAGTTTCGTAAGTACCATGGTCCAGTTTGCTCTTGAATGGGGAATCTCTTTTAAAATGTAACGACCAGCGACAGTGTTCAGATTTTTTATTTTTTATTTTAATGGTCACAATAGGGAAGTTAGTTTTGCGATTTTTTTTTTTAATGTATTTTTCCCCCATTCTATTGACGTGAGTTTAAAGTGATTAGGATCATGAAATATGTGCATCAGTGGCATGATCCGATTATATGCTAAGACGTGTAATTATATTCAGAGTTGAAGTGTCGACATCTATGCAGCTGCGTACAGACAGGCATTACACTGCCGCAGATCCTCAGATCATTTCCCCCCCTTTGACACGCTGCAGTCTCAGCTGTTTAACACATCAGAGATGCATATCACGTTTGGGTGTCAGCCCCTTTTTGAAAGAGATATTTCAGAGGCAACCACTTTTTGGGGTTGCTGTTTTGCACTGCTGTTCAACAGACCCATTGGACTTTAAGATCTAATTCTGTTGCTTTGACCTCTATTTTCTCTTTTCTATGCTGCTCTTTTGTGCTCCTGGTTTGGACTAATGTCAAAAAAGCATCCTGGGAAATGAAGGAAAACAATAACTTAAAGTAAGAGGAAAGGTGGATCGACTTGATTACAAAATGGCACTTAGAAAGTCACAAAGGAAAAGTGAAACATTTCAGGATGCATTTTTCCTTTACCCCCCATTGCCTGCCATAGTGGCTGAACTTTTGTCCAGATGTGGGGACAGATGTTTGTACGAGACGCCTGGTCCTCTTTTGCTTGTCTGTCTCTGTTTCTCTGTCTCTTTTTTCTCTCTGTCTCTCTCTGGATAGTTGTTTTGAGTAACAGCATGATATGTAGTGGTGACTAACCCCCCCACCCCGCCCCCTCGCAGGCTCTCAGTGCGCCGGGCTCTTCAGCACCACTGTCCTAGGTGGGTCCTCTAGCGCCCCTAACCTGCAGGACTACGCACGCGCACATCGCAAAAAATTCTCCTCCGGCAGTCTGTCCTACAAAGACGGTACGTGTTTGAGACCGCGCTCCTTCACAATCCTGCACAGGGCAACAGCAGATCAGTGACAGATACACTTCCTCTTAGTCCTAGCGCGTAGAATAGCCTAAGATTGTGAAACTGGGCACATGAAAATGTCCTGTAGAAATATTTTCTGTAGATTTACTAAGAACTAGAATTGATGTACTGGTTAGATGATGTGATCAATAGCATCAGTAGAACTTTGGATAATACGAATATGCTTTATGAGAGTGAGGATTAAGCAGGAATACACATCATGTATGCCCATACATGTGTTTTCCTCATTTTTATATTTTTTGTTATTTTTTCTTTGAATCCATATTCATTCTAGCCACCAAAACCACTGGATTGTCCATCTTATGCTTTTGTTTTCTCCACTCCACTTTGAGTAAAAATGGGTGTATAGCAGTTTGTATACATGCTGACCAATTTAGACGGAAAAATTTGCCACCAGAGTAGCACAGAGTCGGTGTCTGTAGAGTATTTCAAATCTACGCCTGGTGTGTGGAGTCAGGGGGATCTTTAGCTGAGTTACAGAGACTTCCCTCTTTTATTACGTTCTATTTGTGTACAGCAACTTAGCTGTGCAGTGGAGATCTTACTTTGCGCTTTTAAGTGAGTTTGTTATTAAGATATTTTAGTGAAAGCCATTCATTTTGATTATTTATTTATTTTTTATAAGAACTACTGCATGTATAAAGCAACTATTCATCAGTATGTCTGCGTTCACTTCCCCTCATTCCCCAAATCATGTTTTTCTAGCATGTACCCTGGCTGCACTGACTTCCTATTAGTCTGTTCAGCAATACAACCATGTGTATATCACAGCCAGTAACAATTACTAGGCAAATGACTGCTAGCTGCTGACATTTCAATTCAAGAAACATTTGATAATGATAAAGTGGATAAAGTTGATGTAATAAAGTCTGAATGAATAGCACAAGTCGTACAGCAGTTTTACATGCGCATCATACATTTTTTTTGCAGCCCCTCTGCTGTTGGAGTTAGAAAGCTAGTGCTGTTACTGTGCTCAAACATTATTCAAAAAACGCTTTGAATAATATTGAATGTGAAAAGCAACGGTCGACATTGAACCCAGGGATCTATCATGCTCAGCTCTGATGTTCGCTGTCATGGCGTCCAGGAGGTGTCACTGTGGCATCATGCAGACGTACAGTCGGCTCCTGGTTGTCTCACATGTAGCCTCGCTGCCGGTCTTTGTCATCCATCTTGTTCCACATCCCTCTCAAGAATCAAAGGAAGCACACTAATCTCGATGCAGTCGAGATTCAGAGCATGCTCCTCCGTTAGTGTAGCGTTGGTGTGATTTTCTTTTAAAGTGTTTCCATACAGAAACATCTTAAACCGGGTCAGGTTCCTCAGTTTGTATTGTTGTCTCACTATATGACACAGAGGCGGAACGGAAATGTACTGGGATGTTTTGTCGTGGTTAGAGCTCAAGCGGGGCTGAAAATAGGGGTGGTTTCTTCCAAGTGTTCTAGTCCTCGGTGTGTACTCTTCACCTCCTAAGTTCAAACATTTCATCTTACTCCATTGATGCCCCACAGCCATCTTCAAACATCTTCAGCCATCTCTAACAGTAGCTTCAGGTAGTTCAGGGGATTCTCAAACCCACTCGGTTGTCTAGGTGCTGTTTGACCTTTAGAGAAGAACAGTGAAAGGATACAACATGATGGCACAAGTTACTGTGGCTCCTAGTGATTTTTTTTATTTTTTATTTCCTCAGAGTTGTTGTCAATGCCGGCAGTAAAACGATTTTCTGTGTCGTTTGCAAAGTTTCCGACTAATGGTACGTCTGCTTCCTTCAAGTATTTTTCCACTTCACCTCCCTGTTTCTTGCATGTCTTCAAAAATTTTGTTTTTGACCTTGACCTTTTTTTTCACATGGCACTCCAGCATTCCAGGCATTTTTTTTCTAATGATTCATTTTTTTTATTTATCCATATGCTTTGGACTGTTACTTTCTAACACTACATGACATCCTCTTTCTAACCAGGGTTCCCACTGGTAATCTTTAGAATATCCACAAATTAGAAGACGGGGAATGTCAGCAAATGTTAACACAGACCTCATATTAGTGTAGCAGGAAATATACATCCTAACAGTACTTATACCTGTAATGAGCAGGGAATCATCTGTGATTATCATTCTTTTACTGCCTTTTACCTCATATTTATTATATTCTTAGACTTTCATTTGAACCAAAATACAAATAACCAAACCACAAATAAGGACAAATTACCAATTGTCCTCCATTACAGTAGGAAACAGCTGTGTTTTCTTACCTCTCGTGCCAGTTAACTGCATTCAATTAACATTGGATCATTTTCAATCAGAGACTCTGCATTGGTCAAAAAGCAATTGACTGTTTGTGCTCTGTAGATTTTAATTTTTTTAATATTTTGTACACAAGAGACATGGTTCCTGTAATGGTTTAGGGGATTTAACCAGACAGATTTCCCCCAAAAAATCTATTTCTTGGCTATGTAGAACATAGGATTAATGTTGTTATTCAAGCGTCCAATTGCAGCTTTTATTTGGATATTAGACAATACATTTAACCACCTTTTATTAAATACAGTAAAATATGTGGAATATCTATTATAACGGTTCAGTAAAGTATGTTGTTACAGGGCCAGTAGAAAAAGAAAGTTGAAGGTATAAGTCTGATTTTGAAAAAATGATATAAGCCCCGATTTACTAAATGGATTTATTGGAGGAGCACTTCAATACAGTGGTGCATTGTTGACATATGTTTGTAGGCTGTCTTTAGTGTCTTACTTTATTAAAGTTTGAAGACTTGCAAAAGAGGAAGCAGAAGCCGATAATATGGGTGCGGCTCCGAAGACAATGGATCCTGTTTTTCATACTGACATCACTACGTAACACTTGCGCTTCTTTTGGCTAACGCTCCAACACATTGTACGTGATGAACAATCACAACAGAGCCGGCCGCTAACCAATCGGAGCACACTGGGCTCTGGTTTCAGACAGAGGGTGAAAAGAGGTGCTGCAGCACAGGCAGTACGAGACAAATAAAGAGCTTTTTGAACATTAAAGCATGGAGACATGTCCCAGGAGAGACACTACATACTAATATGAACCTGAAAATGATCAGAATAGGGCTCCTTTCAAATGAAAGAGCCTTCCGATGAAAGTTTGCTTTGAGCCAAGAGTGGGAACCCTGTTTCACATCCCTCATACCATTTTGTTAATTGATCGCCATTACCCAGTAATTAATTTCAATTTTTCTCCAGTGGATGGATGTGTGTGGGTGCATGTGTACACGGTAATTACGTAAATAACACACCTGTTGCCGTCATTGTAGAGGATGTGAGTAAAGCTCATTGTTAAAATGCCACCAACAGCACATTAACACTTATGTGATTATTCTTTCACAACACCACCTCTAATTTGTGGATTGAAGGGTCAATATGGTTCAATCACAGCTGACTCAACAAGGATCAGCTCTTATTGAAAGACAGAGGAAGGGTTAACGCGTTGCTCATCTCATCTCCTGTGACATCCGTCAGTTTTTGTTTTGATCCATTTGCAAACATTCTTTTTTCAATGTTTTCCAATGTGGTGGCCCAGTTTGTTTCAATACTTGAAAAAGAAAAAATAACTGCATTTGTATTGAAGATGTGTAATGACGATGTTTATGGTCTCACTTGTGATGTTTATCTTGATTTTTGATCATTTATTGACTACATTTGTCTGGCAGGAAGAAGGGAAGTCGTAGATGAGATGTTGTTGTGAATATCCCAGCTATTCTGTCCTTTCACTCAATGTGGAAACAAGGACTGGTTTAAATGGATTAAACTTGGTTAGTTTGGGATAGTTGAGCTTTTCGGGTGTCTGCTTTTTGATGAAAGTTGGATCGCTTCCTTTGTTTGCAAATGAAGAGTGTACCAAAGTGGTCTTAACAGGCGAAAATGTTCATCCACAAGTGTTTTTCTGGCGAATGTTCTTGGTGGTCATCTCATTAAACAGAACAAGTGTGAGCACTACAGTGCAAAATGAGCCCAGAAAAGGAACTCTTCCTGTAAGGTAGCACCATGCCAATACAGTCAACGTTACTGCCACACTATTAGTATGTTACTTTTCTCTTACATATATTATTCACCACAGGAACTAAAGATGACACATCGGCCGTAGCAGTGGCTCCACCTGTCTGGTGCACTGCAACAGGTACGACGGCCCCCCGCCCTCTGATGCAGTTTTGTGTTGGCACCAAATGTCCAGCTGCAGCTTTGTGTCGAAGCACAATAAGATGACGACAGTCCTACAACCCTAGATTTAGCTGCACATGTTAAAGCTGCTGCGCTGTTTGTTTGGGGAGGCGGCTACGTTTTATTTTGGGCTACATCGCTTCCTGTAAATGTATTGTGTTGCTTCTTTGTGGGTTCTCATGGATTGGTTTGTATGAAAATTAATTGGAGAGACGGCAGAGGAGCAACTTGTTTTAATTTCAATCGTGTCGTCAAAAGCTTTGCTTAATTTGCTGGATTTTTGTAGCTGAGGTGATTTGCTGCTTCTCCTGATCTTTGGCTGTTTGGCTGCCTCTTCTGTGTACAGCACACACCAGAGGTGTGGACTCGAGTCACATGATTTGGACTCGAGTCAGACTCGAGTCGTCAATTTGATGACTTGAGACTCGACTTGACAAAATCACAAAACACTTGCTACTTGAACACCAATGACTTGGAACTTGACTTGGACTTGAGCCTTCTGACTTGAGGTGACTTGATAATTTAATTCAGGGGTCTCCAACACGCCGATCGCGAGATGCCGCTAGAAGAGCAGACTCCCGTCGGGGAGAGCAGAATCTCCAGCCGCCCAGTCCCTACCGTTCGAAGTTCGGGAGAGTTTCAGGAGTTTGAAACCAGTTTGCTCAGTAATTGTGCTGAGTATACACGAAAAGTGGTTTACATTACTGTAGGTCAGTTTCTCTATTATGAATTATTAGGTTAGACGAGAAAAATAATCAGTGTAATTATTAAATTATTAGTTAATAGGGAGACCGACGGCATTTCATTACAGAAAATAAGATTAAATTCCTCCATAGTCGATATCCGATCCGGATGGCAACTCCCAAACTAAGTCTCCCTCAAAATACGACGTCTAGGGACTACAACCTCGCACGTGGTCCTTACAAATAACAGGTGACACAATGTGTAAAATTCCGCGTGGGGTTAGTATAGAAATACTTCCCTATTACACGTCGCTCCGCCCAGAGATACCCCCTTTTCTTGTGGACTTAGATCCTAGGGAGACGTCCACCATGAAAATCATATAAAACTACGATTATGAAAAATGAAAATAAATGTAAAACTTACGTCCTGAAAAATAACATTGGCTTCTATAAGGATGTGAACCATTGAAAATGAGTTAGATTTGAAGAGGTGGAGACTGTTAATTAGACTCACGTTTTTTTTTTGGACGAAGACTTCCAATAAAAGTAAAAAATGGTTAGGACGTGAGTCGAAACGAAAGAGGTATAGTACTTTACGTCGGTTTAACGACCGAATAAAAAAAGTCAAAAGCGATTAAAGAACTGAAAAAGGCTGCGCGAACGTAAATTTAGCAGAGGGTGATGCAGCGAGACGACGTCAACAGGACACGTGATGTGGACGACACGGGGTGGGCAAGAAGTGTATTACCATACTAGGATCACAGCAGGAGCGTATACTAACCGGCGTACCACCGGGTCGATTTAATTTCTGGGCGGGGCTGGACGTACCTAATGAGTCGT